TTCTCTGTCCTTCGCTTTCTTCTTGCTCTTCCTATTCTTCCTCATTCGAACCTTCGACTTGACAAGTTCCGGCTTGTCCCCTTCTGTCTTATCTTCCGCGGCACCTGCAGCACCCTGTGCAGCCCTCTTCTCTATGATGTCCCTTGCGAGAGACAATTTAGCCATACGCTCCTCCATAGTCTGCTCGCTCTTCGCGCCATCCGCAGGCGCTGTTGTCTTTGTCGCAATTATCGTCGTATCCTCCTTGAGTATCTCTTCACTGTTGACCAAATACGTGCTGAAGAAATCTTCCATGCGCTTCAGCGCCAGTTCGTGTCGGTTTTCCCTGCGGAAGCCCAAGCAGTCTTCTATAACATGAATCTTGACACCATGCCGCGCTGCATCGATGACAGTCGCCAGCACAGAAACATTGGTGATGCATCCGCAGATGAAGAGTTCGGTAATGAGTCTTGCGCGCAGTGTTATGAGCATGTCGGTGCCCTGGAAGGCGGAGTAATTGGTCGTTTGTATCACAACGTCTGCAGGCAGCTCGATCTGCTTCGCGATAGCATCTGCAAACTCGGCGCCACGCGTGTCGGGCACGCATGCTGGCGTTCTCTTCTCGCTCTTCAACAGGAACAGCTCCTCGTCTTCTTCAGCCTTGGCTTTTGCGACTTCCTTTGGCAGCGTCTTGCGTCGTGCTGACACGCGTTTCAGCAGGGCTAGCGCGCGTTCCTTGTGTTTTGAGGATCTGGAGGGCGCTGGCAGCGACGCTGCTTCCTTGGCTAACTCTTCCTCAGCTTCATTGTTGTTTTCCTCGCCGTCGAGCAGCCCTTCTACGACAAGCGTGTCTCCCGCACCCGTGTCGGCGCCAGTCGCGATGCGATCGGCTTCGTACAGCGTCTGGACCCAAATGACATTGCCGCTGAGCTCTCTGAATTTCGGAATCAAAGTCTGGATGCGCTCCAGAAAGCCCGTCTGGGTGTCAACGGGAAGTCGTCCTTCTGATGTCACAAAGTCGTTCTGGAGTCCAACGAGAACAAGGGCTTGGTGTGTTTGGAATTTGGGTTGGTTTTGGGACACAAGGTCCATCAAAGACGCCATGTTGGAGTTCATCGTGTCAGGAACGCGAACGGCTAGGGTTGAACGCGGAAGCGACAAGTCTTGGCATCAATGCTAGTGAGCGGGAGATTGCTAGACAAGGGCTTCCTCAATACGAAAGCGAGCGGAAGGCAATGATTAGGGTGTTGGTGTTCTACTTTTTGGACGACAGCTGATATTTGATCACATGGTGCAAGCAGGGTAAGGCCAAGAGGGCGTTCAGTAGATTGAGTCAAGTCGCCGCATCTTCGGGCCATGCAGGGATAAGCATTGGAGGAACGCGTCCCGGATGTGTTGCGCAGGGCGTTGAAAGCTCCAGCAGGCAGGATTGGTAGTGTTTTGGAGGTTTCGACGGCCGCTAGATGGCCCCTCGCCCGTCCCCGCCACCATTAGCGCGGGGCAAGGACGGTACTTCTATGTTTGCGCCCATCTGCGACCGCGGACATGCTCACTCCGCAAGGGCTTTCCTCTCAAACCCTCCACCATGTACATCTCCACGACCGCATCTCCGCGCACGCGTGTATCTGCGCTGCGGCTTGCCCCCGGACTATAGGTCGGACGGCATAGCGCACAAGGCAGGAAGCCTAAACGGACCTCATTCTTCACCGCCAAACCACCTAATGCTCTGGATGGTGCTCGGAAACATGTTCCAGCATGTAATGTCCCGACGTCGCTCTTGCCGGGCCCAGGATACTGGAAGCAAATTCTTGCGGTCACTTGTTGCTGAAAAAGGATGTGATCTTCCGCGAACCATCCGCCTTGGACGTCTTTGCTGCGCTGCCGTTACTCGTGGCGCTTCTGGTACCTTGCTTCTTCGCGGGTGTTGACTTCTTCGCAGGGCTTTTGGCAGGCGAGACAGACGCGGTCGGTTTGTTGCGCTTGTGCTGTGGCTCAGACTCTGCGGTGCCATCAGTCGCGTCGTCGTGCTCTCGCTTGATGCCTTTTGGCGACGTCGCTGGGATAGGCAATGGCGCGTTATCTTCGGTACCTCCCACGCGGTCTGTTGTGTCACGCGTCTCATCAACGTCGTGCTCGACTTTGATCTTGTCTTTCTCGTCTGGTGAGCCTTCCAGATCATGCTGTGCTTTGCCGACAGATTGCTCTTCCGCTTTGGTCTCGCCAGCTTTTCGTTGGTTGCCGAAGAAATTGGCAATGTTGTTCTTGTTGGCTGCGCTGTTGATTGGCACGAGAAAGGACGGCGAGTTGTTGCCGACTTTGCCTACGTCTTTGCTGACCGGGTAGCACTCCAACTCACCCTCGTATGGTTTTAACAGCGACTGCAGTTCTGTGCTCCACTCTGTGCGCGTCGGGTCCAGCCAGGTACGGATGGCATCTGAGCCGTTATCGAAGATGACGGGCATGCGGTCGTGCAGAAAGCTGAGCTGCTTGTTCGAGTCGGTGGTGATGACGGTGTAGGTGTAGAGCTTCTCGCTCGAGTCCTCGAACTGCACACAGTCCCATAGCCCAGCGAAGCACATGAGCTGGCCGTCCTTGCGCTTGGTAAAGTGTGGCAGTTTCTCCTTGCCCCCGTTCTTCTTCAGCCACTCATAGAAGCCCTGTGCCACGATGATGCAGCGCTTCTTCTTCTTCATGGTCGTCCACATGCCGCGGTCTTCGAAGAGCGAGTCGTCGCGGCAGTTGATCGTCTTCATCTTGGAGCCGTAGTCGGGATTGCGCTTCGTCCAGAACGGTACGAGACCTGTCGCATGCTGTCAGTGACGTACGAGGTCATAGGTGGATGTGCCTACCCCATTGCATAGACTGCAGTTTGTATTTGGTATCTTCCGTCGCGCCTTCCTCCTGGCCGCCAGTCTCGGGACCGTCCGCTCGGTATACAAGCCCATGATAGCCTGGGGCGAAGTTGTAGCTTTGGCGCACGTTGCTGTCGTCGTCGGGTGCCTCTTCGACTGGCATCTGCGACTGTTCGAGCTGCTGGCGGACCTCCGAAGGCCTCTTGTATCTTTGTCAGCTGTCGCATTGTATTCCACGTGACTGTAACTACTCACCAAGGCCAGCGCATACCTTCCACACATAATTAAAGAGGTTCAGTGCATTGTTGCGAGGTCTAGGGCAACGCGATGCGGCGCGTTGGTGATTGGCTACGTCATGACGAGCCTCAGCCCTACGCGGAACGCACGCGACGGGCACTAAAAGTTCGTTCCGTCATGCACTCGCTCCACCAGATGTCAGATGCCATCGCCCACATCTTTTTGCCTTTGCCCGGCGCACCATGTTGAGCAGGACGGCCCCCCGCGCCGTGCCCCGAACGAGCGCAATCGCACGCTGCGAAGCGCAAACCCCGCTGACACGATGCCGGCGGCCAGTACAGCAGCACCTGGGGCGGCGCTATGGCTCGACGATGCGGGAGCAGTTCCGGGAGCAATACCACAAGAGCCCCGTGCTGTTCCCCTTTGCGATTGGCTCCATTGCCCTCGTGGCCGGCATCTGCGTCTTGTACATACCGTGGTACTACAAGAACGTCATCATCAAGCCCTACCACAACTTCCCCGAGCCCGTCGCAAAGAAGCTGCGCAGAGCCCTCTTCTACAGCCGCGGCCAATGGCTCGACATCCGCGAAGCCAACAAACACTTTCGCCAGGCGCTCGCCCTCGCCGACGAGATGGGCATGGATCCCTTCAGCGACGAGATCATGGGCGTCAAGTACACCATCGCTGCGCTGTTTGAGGATGCGGGATACTACAGCTTGGCTATCGACGTGCTGGAGATTATGCGCAATGATTGCCAGAAATGGGTCGACGAGTTTTCGGATAAGCATTGGACAAACGGGAATAGGAGCAGGGTGAAGAAGAACATGGTGCAGATTAATCTGAAGCTGGGCCAGCTTTACGACGTGAGATATGTCAACGAGCCTGAGAACGGAGAGAAGCGACTGGTCGAGGCTGTGGAGAGCGCACTCAAGGAACAACAAAGGCGGGAGAAGGACGGTGTCAAGAACGGCGAGGGGCCTTGGCTCACCAACGACGAGATGGGCGGTGTACTCGAAGGTAGGCAGCTAGATGGCCGAATACCGCGTATGCCATTCTAACACAACTCAGCCCTCGGAACACACTACGAACAGTTCGACTCGCACTACCTCGCCACCCCCCTCTTCGTCAAAGCCCTCCAACTCTGTCCACCAACCTCATGTCACAGCGTCGTCCTAAGTACGTCCCCACACCCCTTCCCATCCATCTCCACTAACGCACCCCAGTGAACAACATATCCACCTGCCTCGCCCAACAAACCCCCCCATCCCCCTCCTCCTCCAACGCAATAACCCTCTCCTCCGACCCCACCTCCTTCCCCGTCACAAACTCCGCGCCGCGCTCCCTCGCCATCGACCAAGCACGGCAATGGGCCGAACGCGCCCTCGCCCTCTCCGCCCAGATCAAGTCTTCTTCTTCTGAAAGGAACGAAGAGTGCGACATGGGCTGTGCCGTCGCGACGCATAATCTCGGCGAGTTCTTGGAAATGGAAGGGAAGATTGGGGAGGCGAGGAGGAAGTATGAGGAGGCGGCGGGGTTGGCGAAGAAGATTGGGTTTGGCGAGGGGGTGGCGGAGGCGAGGGCGGGGGTTAAGAGGTGTAGGGAGGTGGAGAGGGGGGGTTGATGATGGGGGGAGGGGGTGTGGTGTGTGGGGGGTTGGATTGGGAGATGTTGCGAGGGTTGATGAATGTTGTGTAGCGAGCGTAATGAGCCGTTACGTTCATGTGTCGGGACGCAGACCGCTGGGTTGGTAGGTTCACAAGTGGCTTTGAGCTACAAGCCCACAGCGAAGCTTGATTCTCACCTCACCGTTTCCACCCCCATTGCGATTCCTTGCCATCGCGTACCCTCTTCACACCATCAAATCCCTTACCAACGCAACCTCACCCCCTTTCCACCTCTCCATCTCCGTCTCAGTCGCTCAGAGCGCTCGCCTCAGTTCCCCTTCCGTGCTTCATCATCCGCCGCATCGTCCAAAGACTCCTCACCCGAATCATCCGTGATTTCCGGATCGTCCCATACACTCTTCTGCTTTCGCGCAGCCTGCTCATGCATCTCCCTTTTCGAAGCACTTGTGGCAGACTCCTTTGCGATCTTCAACTGGCGTGCGCGCTCAACTGCTTCGTGCTTTTGTGAGATAGCAGCGTCGCGTGCATCAGCTAAGGCCAGTTCGTCTTCCGAGAACAGTCTGTTCTTGTGAAGAGCGCGTATGTCGCCCGTATAGCCGAGGGGCGGTATATCAACGGTGTTGAGCAAGGCAGTGACTGCGGCCGCTCCATCTCTACGCGCGGACTTCTTGTGCCAGTCTTCGACGTTGATCATAGCGCCCTTGTTTTCGTACTCGTGTTGTACGTCCTTGTTGAAGAACTCGTGGTCGAAGCCTGGGCTAGTCTGCCTCTTGGTCCTATCCTTGAGAGCTTCGACTGCGCCGTCGATCCATGTGTTCTGAGAAGGCTTCGCGTTCTGCGCTTCCTGATGTGCCTTGATTGCCTCTTCATTGGTCGCGGGTAGTTCGGTCCATGTGTAGCCCTTGGCCTTGAGAGAGGCTATGACGTCTGGATGGGTGGGTATTGGTTCTGTCTCAACGGGCTTAACGACTCGCGGCTTCGACTTCGGCTCGGACGGTTCTGTCGCTTTCGGTGGATCAGTCATCGTCTTCTTGGAGGAAGTCGTCTTCTTGGTGCTTTTCTCTGGGGGAGGTGGCGAGGAAGAACGGGCGCTTGACCTGCCCGAGGTGGCCTTACTAGTACTCCGCGTGTTTGATGCGGGATTGCTGGTTGTAGGCTTGGTCGTCGTAGGCTTGGTGACTGTAGGCTTGGTTGTCGTGGGCTTGGCTATCGTAGGCTTGGTGGTTGGACGTTTGCTTCCTGGAAACTTGCTAGCTGTGCTGGGTTTAAGCTTAAGCTTGACTATCAGACGTTTAGCCTGTTGTTCGCGCTCAAGAATCTCCATGCTTTCGAGTTCTTCGTCGGTGTCAGGTGGTGTGGTAAGAGTAGAAGTGTCGGAGTCATTACCGTCGTCTTCTTCCTCAGCTTGCTCTTCGTCATCTTCCTTAGCTTGCTCTTCGTCTTCTTCCTGAGTTTGCTCTTCGTCTTCTCCCTCAGCTTGATCTACATCCTGTTCTTCACCCTCATCATCAGCCGCAGCAGGAGCAGAATCGACAGCGGGCTCCCAATCTCCTTTGATATACTGCTCGATCTCGTCATCCGTGATGGAAGGCATCCATGTATCATCCTTCTTGCTCTTCTTGAGCTTAGGTTTCAGCGCGCTCATACGATCTCGCAGGCCACGGATCTTGGTACCAGCACGGTTTAGGTACGAAGTCAATCCGTTCAGAGGCCTAGTACCCAGAGCTTCTTCCATTGGTTTGCCGCTCTTGTCTCGGATATCGGTCCGACCCTCGAAGTAATCGTTGAAAGCCTCGAATATGAGCTCGTTGTGAGGCGCCACGAAGGTGTTTGTCTTCCCAGTGGCAGCTTCTAGAAGCTTTTCATGGAATAGTTCCAAGTACGCGGTCTCGAACGGAGTCCATGGTGTGTGGGTAACCTTGGGCGGGAACTTCATATTTTGGACGAAGATTTGGTTGCGCCACTTGTTGATGTCTCTGATGTGGTCCTTGTTGTTCCAGTCGATGTTTTTAGCTGCCTTCCTGTCGTACTCAAATGTTCGATCTTTCTCGTTGTTGTCGTGTCTATGGTGGAACCTGAGTGTCAGTCGTTTTGGTTGAGGGGCACCGACGACGAGCGTCGAGCGCTTGTCACCCTCTAGAATCTCCCATTCGAAGTTGGCGTCTTCGTCTGGGGCCTTGACTGCTTTTGATCCGGGATGTGCCGGCTTCCTCGGCTTCTTGCCGGTACTCGTTGCAGGTGGTGTCTCACTATCGCTGGTCTTGTTGCGCGGTGATGTGCGCGTAGGAGTGCCGCCGGTCTTGGCTTTCTTCGCGGGCTTTGGGGTTGTAACGGCGTCTCCCTTTCGCTTCGGAGGCATCTTGACGGTACTGGGTGGTGGATCGTTGCAGTTGATGATCTGAGCAGCGGGTATGAACTTAGAAACCAACGGATGGGGAGCGGGGTATAAAGTAACCAGAGGATTGACCAGAATGATAGAAGCCTAGCTTCTTGCTGTGGGCCATTCACGAGTTGTTTCCAGACCCTTGTGAAGGTGTAAAACACAGTGTAGCCAGTTCCAATGATGGTCAAAGCTTCTATCCGAAAAGAACGACATAGTGAAGGAGACCGTTTATCAGTCATTGTATAATTCGAAGCACTGTTTCGGCCCAGTGATGGTACTCGCGGAAAGATAATACATCAAGATGCGAAAAGAGCGCTTTGTGGTTTTCTGTATGGTTTATATAGGTCCAAATTTCAATGGTGAGTCGCTTGAGAAGGAAAGATTGTGACATCTCTGCGCGATACACATCTTTTATCTTTTCCGGGATGAGGGCGGTTTGTGAAGAACACGAGCTTGCTAATGTCAGCCGGATGTGATGATTCTCACGTGAACTTATCTGAAGATTGTTCTTAGCAAAGTGCAATACAGCACGAGCGGGACCATACACTCATTGTTTCTTGGGAGCCTACCTTCGCGTGATCGTTCTCGGGATAGATCGTGATGAGCTTCACTCAAAAGACACGAAACCTTGTTGAGGGGTCACTTATCTTGCGGCATGGTAATCAAAATCAAACTTTTGGGAGCACATTCTTCCGTCATTGTATGGAACATGAACAAAACATGTAGGAATGCAAGACCGGGATTTTCGCATATCGGCGGTGTGAAATCGAGATCTACCTCGTCCAGCAGCGCTGTAGCCGCAGATATCATGGTCGACGACATTCGCACAGGTATATGAAGGTTTCGATCACGGTAGTCATTGACGGAGATAACTGTAGACGAGCATCAGCGGAGAATACCACTGATCGTCGCGATCCAGAACTCAGACTACGCGAGTACATCTAGTTCGGCGCGAGAGACGGAAAAGATGGGCAGTTCGTGTGGAGCAACTGTGCCGTAGCAAGAGGCGGTCTGCAGGGGCACTCGAGTAGTCTCTTGTTAATCCCTGGAGGTGTTGAGGTACTATTACCACCCGTCCCGGTTAAGCGATGCCAAGCACGACGGAGGACGCTGCCGACTCAAGAGGGAACAATCGCTCGATGCGGACGGAGGGGGTTGGAGGGAGGGAGGTCTTGGTGAGGAGGATGCGGAGTGTCAGCGCCGATGATTGGCTCCGGCGCCAAAATTAGCGTGGGCGCGCATGTTTACGTCGCGTGTTCCTCGTGCACGCCATTTGCGCGTGCATGGCTGTGACAGCTGCCAGTGGCAGCGTCGTGACATCAGCGCTTGGTCGCGCAATCAGTGGCATCAAGGGCTCGATCCATAGGAAAGGCGGAGGTGAGGTCGGTGTAGGTGGGATGCGGGGCCAGGGGCAGCAGCTGGTCCCGCCGTAAATTAAGCAGCAAAGGCGAGTGTGGACCCTGACCAAGAGGGCTAGCCGGCTGCGGGCCTAGTCCAGGGCCTCCTTGATGCTCCTTTCGAGGCCGTTGGGGAAATCATTCCCTCTTTTGCGGTCCGTCGCGCTCTTTTCGTGCTGCCGTGAGCTGTTGCGCCGTCGCTCTGACTTTCTTCTGTTGCATGAATGCCGCCTGCAGAGTAATACCCAGAGAGTCACAGCGTGCACGACTCAAGCCGGCGCCAGCATACTAATTCCACTCAAGTGAAACACGCTCTACACCAGCACCACCGAACCGAGCGCCCCAGGTAAACAGGTCTGCTTACCTGCCGCGGCGGAGAGCAAATTTCCGCTCCGTCATATCGAACCACCACCGTGAAGACAGCAAACATGTCCAGCGGAAGCATCACCATGGAGGTGAAAGAAGAAGCCGTCGAGCGCGCGCCCAGGTCACACGTGGACAGCTCGCCGCTGCCGACAGACTCGATGGTCACAGTGCCCCTCTCCGAGACGGACGGCAGAACCCCAGAGGAAGAGGAAGGCGCGAGGGAATCGGTGATGCGGCCAGAGATTATAGTTGAGGAGCGAAGAGCATCATCACGAACCAACTCAACGGAAATCCGCAATGCCTTCGGACACCGCGCCAGCCAATCCAGCGTCGACACACCCGCCCCAACCAGCCCTACCATCTCAGTGCGGGACACCGACGCACCCGTCTCCCCCAAGACAGCAGCGCCAGACTGCAGGGGGCGCCGTACTAGCAATGGCTCGGGAAAAAGCGAAGAGGTCGACTGGGCTGAGCTAGAGAAAAAGGAAGAACAGGAGCCCGAGGGCGAGGAGGAGGTGTGTAGACGGCCCCTGTGTGAACAACTAATACTAACATAACTAGGCCATGGCCCTGCTGCTCGCCCGACTAGAGCAGGAGAACGAAGCCATCCTCTCAAACTCAAAGTCCAACATGAAGGTCGCCCGCGCCCGCAGCCAGTCCCGGCCCCCCTCCTTCAACCAGCTCAAGCGCCTCGTGGCGGATGACACCTCCACCATGCGCTTCTCCCAGCTGCCCTCCCCGCCCCCCATGACCGAACTCGAGTTCTGGGCTGCCCTCGTACGCGACTACCCACAAACCGTTCACAGATTGCCCACGCTCTGCCTGAATAAGATTCGGGGAGGCATACCAGCGCCGCTGCGGGGCGTCGTCTGGCAGAGTGCAGCTGGCTCGAGAGAGAAGCTGATCGAGGACCAATATGACTCGCTGTGCGGAGAGTCGAGCCCATACGAGAACATCATCAACAAGGACTTGGGACGCAGTTTCCCCGGTGTGGAGATGTTCAAGGACCCTGAAGGCGAGGGGCAGAAGATGCTTGGCCGCGTGCTCAAGTGCTTCAGTTTGTATGACCACAAGATTGGCTACTGCCAGGGTCTTGGTTTCCTCGTTGGCCCGCTGCTCATGCAGATGGGCGACAAGGAAGCCTTTTGCGTGCTCGTGAGGTACGTCATCGCACTTCCCTCACAACGTCAGCGACTAACAACACCAGGCTCATGGAAGACTACGATCTACGCTCATGTTTCCTGCCGGACCTCTCCGGCCTCCATCTGCGCATCTTCCAGTTCCAGAAGCTGCTCCACCAACACATGCCTCAGCTAGCCCAACATCTCGACGATCTTGAAGTGCAGTCCGCATATCTATCGCAATGGTTCCTGTCTTTCTTCGCTGTCACATGTCCGCTACCCATGTTGTTTCGCATCTACGACGTACTATTTGCCGAGGGCGCATCCGAGACGATCATGCGGGTAGCCCTCGCGCTAATGAAGCGCAACGAGCAAAAGCTGCTGTCCCTGAGTGAGTTCGAGGACGTAATGCAGTTGCTTTTGGGGCGCCAACTCTGGGACCCATACGGGCGGAACGCGGGGTCGGCGGATGAATTGGTCGGTGATTTCGTTGGTTTCACAAACGACGTGACGCGCGAAAGGTTGCAGGGATTGGAGCAGCAGTACAAGGAGGCCCAGGAGAAGGATTCGTCCAAGCAGCAAGTCCAGAAATCTGCCACGTCGTTCCTGGGCCGTCTGTGGGGTCCGTCCAACTCTTCGACCAAGTCCGTTTCACTCAGCCCGGGTCTCTCCGCGCCTTCACGCCCTGTTAGTTTCCTCAGGCGCTCGGCGTCCAAGCAGAGTCTTGCCTCGACACTCAACTCTACTGCCGAATCGGATGCTTCTGCTGCGACACAGAGTACAGCCATGACTGATATTTCGCGCGCCTCGAATGGCGACGCGCTGTCGGTGAAGTCGGGACACGGCTCCATGGCCATGGGCGCATCGTCCAAAGACCGGGACCTGCACTATCAGATCGAGCAACTCCTCATGTCCGTAAGCCAACTGCAACGCCAAAACAGCGAACTCGAAGCCGCCCTCCAAAAGCAGCGCGAAGACCGCAAAGAAGACCACCGCATCGTCCGCACCGTCGTCGACAAAGTCCGCAAAAAGACCACCACCCTCGCCGCACCCTCAACCCGTTCCTCCCGCCGCCGCACAACAATAACCTCCGCGACCACGCTGCCTCCCTCCTCTGATGACGCCCCCACCCCCGAACTAACAGAAGAAGCCTCTGAAATTGTTGAAACGCTCGAAAGCCGGTTTCCAGCCGCCACCCTCCACCATCGCGCCTCCTCCATGTTCGAAACAAAAGCCCTCCTCCGCGACAATCTGTCCCGCACGAAGGAGCAACTCGCGAACGAGACCCTGCGCGCCAATGCCCTGGCGCGTGATCTTTCGGACCGCGACGCAGAATTGCAAATCGCACGTGACGCGCTGAAGGATACGAGACACAGGTTGCAAGATAGCTACAACCAAAACCAGCGCCTCGAGAAAAACATCCAAGAACTAAGGCAGAATGCGCGGAAACAGTCTGCGGCTGCGAGTTGGACGGGCGTGGATCATAGTGGTGGGAATGCGCCTGATACACCGCCCACACTATCGCGTTCTACAACGAGTGATTCCATCAACACGAGCGGGTTAAGGGAATTACGGCTGGGTAGAACGAATAGCCAGAAGAGCGAAAGGGGTTATTACAACTCCCCCGCGCCGCCGGTCCCGTTTTCCAAACGAAGCAGTTCACTGGCTACACAATCGGTACTCGCGACTGAAAACAACACACCCGCGGACAGCGAAGCTCTTCTGTTGGAACTTGTAAACGCCAAAACGGCGGAGGCGGTCGCGAGACAGGAACTCGAGGAAATGAGGAGTAGGTTTGAGGGGATGAAGCGTGTTATGAGTAGCGGTGGAGCGAATGGAGGAGGGGGAGGGGGGTATAGTGGGAACGGATCACCGATGTCAGGAAGTCCCTTTGCGACGCCTACCCAAACGCCGGCTGTGACGCCTAGTCCTGTTCCTAAAGAACCGGCAGCGGGGACGGGGGGAGGATGGGGGTGGGGAGGGTGGAAGAGGACGGTTAGTAGTAATGCGGCGGGGGGCTCTTAGGCTGGGCTCTTTGATAGACGCTGATGGGGGATGGGATCTGGAATGAAGGGGGGGAAGGTGAAGGTTCGAGGGAGGGCATGTTGATGTTGGTGTACAGTGTATATACTCATACAATCTGGTATTCGAGACCAGTACCACGCCTACTCTCGAGATATAGAGAGAGGGACTTATGTCTTCTTGGGCTTCTTCTCTGCCACGGGTGGCAAGAGAATGGATGGCCGTGTTATACACAACGGGTTTAATGTCAACATTTACATTTTCTCTTCACGAATACCCGTCTTCCCCGTTTCTCTCTGTCTTTCCAATAAAAAAATAAGAAACCACGTGCTTGGTTGGGATGGTGTTTGGGGGCGGAGCACATGAACGAAGATTCTAAGAGAGTTACGTGTGCTAGAGAAGATGTTGTGTCGGGTCGCAGAGCAAAGACTTTGAGCGGCGGTACAGGATGTAAAGGCGTGACCCATGAGATTGCCGGATTGGTCGGTCCACTGCTAGTGATAACAATGAATTCCATTCCGCGCTACGACTCGTTGCGATCACGTTCGTGCGATACGTGAACTATCTCTTTGTTGCAGATAAAGCCCCCGAGTATCAGAAAGTACCGAAAGTTGACATAATGGGACAAAGCAAAGGCTGTGACCTTGAAAACAGACACATCGCCGTTGCCGTCCTCGAGACTCGAAAGACTCGTCGCCATACACAATTAACCCCACACAACTTCAGAACGCGACTCCAAGAAGTGCTTGACGCGATGGCTTCGCCTGAGCCCCGAAGGAGCGCAAGGTTAACGGAGAAGGCGACTGCCGAAGCTGCGGCTGCGGCCACAACTCCGCAAGTTTTACTCGTTAATCCCACTCTCCGAGAAAATTGGTCCAACCCATCTACGCCGGCAGAGTTCAATGCATGGATGGTCGAAACCAAGGCTGCGCTGCTGAAATGGCTGAATGAAGCCGTTGCGCAGGCTCGAGATCCAGACATTAGGGACAAGATCGACGAATACGAGAAAGAAGCTTGGGACAGATGGCAACCGTTTGAACAAGAGACTGATGTAGAGACGGGGGAGATCCATGATCCTGTACATCGGGCGGTGATGGAAGAATCTGTGATTGCGGAGAGGAAGAATTGCTCAGAACTACACAAGAAGCATGAGACGTGGAGGAAGTTTGTTGAATATCGACACGCGCTACAAGCGTGGGAAGACTTTTTATACTACCAAAACGTGTGGAATAGGAGATACTACGTACCCGGCAAGATATACTCGGAGGTTCCAACTAGCAAAAAGGGCCCCGTTTCACTAGAGACACCGAACGAAGGAGCTAGAGGAGAAAGCGAAAAGCCAGGAGAAAAGGCTCCCAAAAAGGCTAAAGGCAAAGCCAAAGCCAAAGATGCCCCCGTGGGTACTCCGGATCAAGAAAGCACGAACCGAACAGACATCGAATACCACAACCAGCCCTTCCAAGGTATCTACAACGGTTGGATGTGGAACATGATCGCCCTGTACCAGCAGGCTCGTCTCGGGTATCGTAAGCGCATCCCCGCCGTCGTTGCCCCTCAGGATGCGCATCGATATAGCCAGCCGCCTCGTGGTACCATACCACAAACCACACCAAGCTACGAACATCGCCATCGCCACCTCGAAGAGCGATTTCCCCGCAGAAAAAGGAAGCAGATCGATACCAACGAAGTCGAAGAACGGTGTCGCAGAAAAGCCGAGCGTAAGCTCGATATCCGACTCGAAAGAGCCCGTAGGATGCAGCCGATAACATGGAGCATCGACGAGACGGCGTACGAGGAAATGAAAGCGGAGAAAGAAACCGAATACAGCAAAAACCCACTGACCATGAACCTCCTCCCAGCCGACCACAAAACCCACCACGGCAGTCTAGAAACAAGTTTCAACTGGCCCACATCCTTCGACACCCCCGTCTCCACCATCCTCAAGACCACTAAAACGCGAGACCACGTCTACGAACCACTCAGCGACCCCGAGCACGACCCCTCCGACCCCAAAAGCAGAAAAAGGTTCCTGGGCTACAAGAAAGACAAAAACGGAGAGCGTATCAAGAAGATCGACAAAAGACCACACTACCAGCGCGAAATCCATATGCGCGAAGGCCTCGTTTTCGAACACGAAATGCGCGCCGATGGAACAGTAGAAGGGCGAAACCGCACCGGCGAGTGGATGGGAGATTGGGTACCGGGCCGGATAGCTACACCCGTTTGGGTTTACGATGGAGACGGTGGGCGTGTCCTTTTACCGCCGCGATATGAATCGAGGAATAGATTTTCTACTTTCCTGGTCAAGGAATCGCATGTTAGGGAGACGCGGCGCCAGCGCCATCAAAATGCAGAAAGGGAGTATGAGTTATCGGATGACGAGGAGGAGGGTTGTGTAAACTCGAATGCCAATTTCGAGAGATCGGGGAATGTGAATCCGGAGCAACTGGGTAATCCTTGGGCTTCCAACCTTGATAGCGACGGAGAAGGGGGAGAAGGGGAAGGTGTTGGTTATCCCGGTGATAGCGATGACGATGATAGCGACGATGACGGCGATTTGTTTGCGGAGTCGTATAGGGAGTGCTCGGAGAGTTCGGCGACGAGACAAGCGCGGTTGTTGCTGGAGGGTTTGCGGGAGAGGTTTGGTGTGCTTGAGAGCTGGACTGTGAAAACTGTTAGGGATTTGCAACGGGAGGGTAATGATGGTTCCTTGGATGTTGGAGATGAAGAGATTATAGATTGGTACAAGAGCGAGACGGAGATGCCGTAGATAGTAGGTATGATTGATGTTTGCTGTCTCCTTCAAGTTGGTATTACCTGTGTTGTGTGAGCTCGACCAGACTTGATACTCGACTGTCAGCAGCGCACGCCGAACAATGTAGTGAAAGACACGAATTGGTGGCGCTAATCCGTTGCGTGCTCGAAAACTCAAGGTAGCCACCGCGCATTGACCATCACAACAGTGAGTAGTCGGTAACTATTTGCTACAAGTTAGCAACCACCTACAATCAACTCGTTAAAGACACCCGCAACCCTTTGTCGCATTCTAAGCGCCTTACTTCAACACGAAGCGTCCGCCAAAGCTCTTCGCATAGCCATCATGAATGACATCATCCTACCAGATGCGGCGTCTCCAGAGCAAAGCCGCCCCCAGGACACGTTCACACCCACTCAATGTGTTCCCGATGAAGCTGCGAGCACTCCAATGAGCATTGAAGATACGGTGGCCACTGAAGAAAGCCGCCCCCAGGACACATCCACACCCACTCAAGATGTTCCTGATGGAGCGGCGCGCACTTCCCGCAACATCGAAGATGCGGCGTCTCCAGAAGAAAGCCGTCCCCAGGACCCACCCACACCCACCCAAGATGTACCCGATGAAGCAGCGAGCACTCTCCGGAGCATCGACCACGCCGCGTCTCTGGAAGAAAGTCGTCCCCTGGACGCACCCGTAACCACTCAAGACATTCCCGATGAGGTACTGCGCACTCCCTGGAGTGTTGATGAGCGCCTTTTCATCCAGTTGCAAGCCGGCTTTGCTCTCGCCGCCGCCAACCTGCACATCTGTACAGTACTCCCGCCGACAGGCCAGAGCGCCTACTACGTCTTTCGTCGCTTCTTCGATGACGCCCAGCAAGGCACCACCGAGGCCACTTCCGACGACAAGCCTACCACGACCTCGAGAACCCAAGATGAATACCTGCTTCAACGGCGGGAGTTGGTACACAAGACACTGTCGATAACGGATGACTTCGTGCGGAAGGCGATAAAGACCGGAGAGTTCATGAGGGGTAAGATGTGGATAGTCGAACAGGAAGTCTTCGACAAGTACCGAGAGATTCGCCAAGACTATGGCCTCGATCTGCCGATCGAAGACCCGAGGCAGAACAACGAGATGTTCAACTTCCTGTACCAGATCGTTTGCGCAAGGTTCCCTAAGTCGTTGGGACATAGTCCCACCAGCTCGGATGCGGACGAGAATCGCACCCGTACGGAATATGCTGATGACGACATGTATGAAGGCTCTACCCTTAGCTCTCCGCCTGAAGGCGAGTTTGAGAATACAGAGAGCGCTTCGCTGGCAGAGGAAGACGCACCAGCCACGGAGGAGACTACACGACGGACACGTACGAGGGCCAAGAAGCCCACCGCCGCCCCCGACGACAACAACGCATCCCCACCGGTTCGTCAGTCCGGCCGAAAAGTCTTTGTAACCGACAAAGCGAAGAAGGCGCAGACAGGTACGAAGCGCACCAGGCGGAACACGGCGGCAGAAAACGAGAGTGACGATAACGAGGAAGATGAAGAGGAAGACATCGTCGTGGATGAAGAAGAGGACGAGGGTGGAGCATCACCGAAGAAGCGCGCCAAGAAGACCATCCAGAAGAACGCCCAGAAAACCGCAAAGCCGAAGACCAAGAGGGGTCATGGACCGAACCGTAAGCCGAACGATGCCTGGTCGAAAGCAGAGCGCGAGGTCATCATCGCACTTTTCAACAAGATCATAGCCGAGAAAGGTCTTATTTACTGGGTAAACAACATCAGTTCAATCTTCCACGAGGCTACCGACGCCGTGAACACACATAGGGCCCTGGATACAGCCACGTATCCTGGTAACCCTCGCGGCATGGATGGTGTGCGCACTCAGGTCCACAAGAAGGCCGCTTATGGGCGCATCATAGACCAGGCTAGGAAGCTGAGAGCTAAGGACGCCGATCCGAAGAAGACGGTGACAGAGGCAGAGCTGAAGCCTCGAGATGTGTTTAAGGTAACAGATCTTGATCCAGGAAAATGAGGGAAATGAGAGGTGGAGTTTGACTGGTCATAATGATGGAGCCCTGGTTTGCGGACTTCGATGGCAAGATGTTGTATAGGTGTTGGGGGACCGGCGACTGTAGATGCGACTTCATGGCAACGTCCGATGAGCTGGGAGGCGTGAATTGATACTATCAGGCTGGAGATCGCGTAAGGTGTAAGTGGCGCTGCGAGACGCCGATGCTCGGTACCTATTTACGTCGCCCCTTGACTATAGCAATGAAAAGATGAAAGATAAATATCCGAATGTGCGAGTTGTGCTTACTGAGTGTCTTCACGACGCGCGCCGACTTATACGAATGGAGGGCGTTTACCTATAGAGATTCTGTCCGCCCACGGGGTTCGTGCGTGTGTGCGATGACAGTCAGATGGGTAAGTGGATGTGAAGAGATGAGGGTGCGATGATGGAAGACAACAAAGCCAGGCGCCAAGGTAAGGCTGAGGTTTGCAGCTAGTACGTCATGACGTCACTGCCGACGCGTCAACATCCCCAGAGGAAAACAGGACTTTCATCGCATGCTACGACTATCCTTCTCAGTGGAAGTGGGCGTTCTTCTATATTCTATGGCCTTACTAACATATGATACTGTGTATGATGCAAGACGCGATCGCAATTCTTCCATTTTTAAAGCTTGTGCTCCCCACCGAGGAAGGAGAGGCTGCGGACGACGTGCTTGACGCGCCAGAACAATGTGGTAGCTTACAAGAGCGGTCACGCAGCCACTGCAGCTACGACTCCCGAGATTGCGACAGCATGGTTGCGCAACAAGCAATTTGTGGGTGGTGTCGCGCGATCAATCTAGCACAGCGTGACCTGATCATATCATCCCCCTGATACCAAGGCTCACAAACAATCTGGTGTATAAAGAAGGAGAAAAGTATGGTATTAGGATCGGTACCTACACGGAGTCACTATCATGGCCGACAGCTTCGATATCGCACCCATTTCGTCCTCGAACTGGCACCCACATCAGCGCGCATGGATTCAACTCTACTACAAGCTCTTGATGCAGACCATACGTCAGTATCCCTCTTATCCAGTCTGCACTAGCGATGCCGCAGCTTTCGTTGCCTTCTCGACATTTTTCGCAGGCTCAGACAGTATGGGTATCATCAATCTCGAACCGAATTGGGAGACGCGTAAGGCTATGTTCATCCTTTACCGGAACGCAGCTCTTCCGAATCTATTGTCTAACCTCGTGGAAGAGTACAAGAACGGAAGGATCGAGTCAGACTCGCGCGTCAGCTCTCCTCAAGTTCAGGTTATCCCACCGATGCTGAAGGAATACATCCGGATCAGCGGGCAGTACGGCCTGGACAACGATGACCCGGAGCCCTGGGAGATGCAGACGGACCTCTGGAACTTCCTCTCAGCGACATTGGCCGAGATGTTTGATCACGGTGGGTTTCTAGACAGCCAGGATACTGTTGTGCAGTCATTCGTTCGAGTAACTGAGGACAGCGTTGCGCCTGATGAAGCTGACACCAGGATGGCAAGACCATTAATCCCGTCAACGGACCGTGGAAGTGAAGAGCCTCAACAAGACCATCCAGAAGTCCCAACTCCCACCGCCAAGCCAACTGGAAAGAACGCCAAAAAGAATGCGAAAAAGAGAGCCAACAAGAAGTCAAACACGTGGCTTCCAGCCGAGCGCCACGTGCTTTGGCGCTGCATTAATACTTTGTGCCGGGAACACGGCATTGATGCATTTGACCACGAGAACATGGAACTGCAGACCTGGAACAGCTTTGCGCAAGATATTAATACGGAGTGCGAACCGAAAGGTCAAGTTAAGCCAAGAACCGGGGATAACGTGCGCAGCCAGGTAAAAGACGCCGTTCGGAGGAAACGTCCGCCGATCAGCGAACTGGCCAAGCGTGCAAAGGATATGAGGGAAGAAATCCGAAAGGACAAAAACAAAGTCTTCCCGCAGAACGTAAGAAATCCGGATGAGGCTATCGAGATATCAGAGAGTGAACCAGAGAACGATGCAGAGGCTGAGGATGAAGAATAGCTGCAGAATGGCCGAGCTGGGCGGTAGATAGGCTAGAGAAGACAATGGCGATTCACGTGAAAACACAGCATGCATGCTAGACTCAATTTGAAAGGTTCTAAAGACACGCTGCCAGAATATCATCAAAGAGGACTGAGTTTCATTGTATCTGACATCTAGTTCATCTGATCTAAAGACCCCTTTCGTCTTCATCTATCCCAGAACCTTACAATCCAGCGTCAGACTTGTCATCCCCTGGAATCTTGATGGCTGCTTCCGGATACCTCTCATCCGCTGAAACATGGTCACCGCGTTCGATTTTTGCTTTCAATTTCTCAGCACGGTCGGCCAACTCCGTGATCGGCTTGTTAGGTAGCGTGGGGTCAGGGCGAAGCGCGTCTATAAACTGACCGCGGACGCCCTGTCCGCTACGATCTGACTCCTTGCCTTGAGCTCCACAGTCTGTCTTGATCTGTTCCGCAAAATGTAAATATGTGGCCTGGTTGAATTGTGCTGTGAATGCGTCTACACCGTGTTCTTTGCACCACTTGTTGATGCAGCGCCAAAGGGCGTAACGTTCGACAGTGCACCATCTCTTACGGGGCACTACGGGTGGTTCTGCTAGATCAGTAGACTGCAGAGGCTCGGGTTCGGGCTCTTCGACTCTTGACGATCTTTGCTTTATCCAATAGGCTGCGTCTTGCCACGTCGTAATTGATGACATAACCGAGCCCTGACGGTACCAGCATAGGACCGGGTTCCCGTCGTGGAGAATCATCCTGACACACGGGGAGCCCTTGCTCTGACATGAGTCACAAGCCTCATGCTCACCAGTCTGCTTTGCAGTCTCTGATGGTCTACCTTTTGCAAGTACCATATTCTGTACGCATCCTGCTCCTACATTCGCTAGCCGGTTGCCTTCTTTGGCCATCTCGGCGTAGTCATTGTGGTGGTAGGTATCGCTTAGGTTATATTGGGCATTGCTGCTGGCGCTGAACCAGTATTGGAACCTTTCTGTGACTATCGCTTGGGCCTCGGGGGATAAATCGTCGAGCGTATGATATCTGATGCCTTCGCCTTCGCCCGCGACACAGAACAGCCAAGGTATGTCATCGGCAGATGAGAGTTTGGGTTTATACGGTCCGAAACCGAGCGTCCTCCGCTTCTTTGGTCGCTGTGTCGATGGTTGGTCTTGGTCGAGTTTGTGCGAAGGCTTATTAACGACGAACGTAGATGGAGTCTCGGACTCCGGGGGCGGATGAGCTCGTGGGTTGTAGTGCGTAGACGTCACCTTTCGTGGTCTGCCAGGGCCTCGCTTACTGATAGGCGCCGGCGAGGCTGCATCGTCGACTTGGTCAATAACCCGTTTCGGCGGAGTTGAGGAAGGAGGGGCGCGCGTCGCGTCGCAGGTCCTCTCGAGGGCTGGACATTAAGTTAGTGCTTGTTCAATATCAGACTTGCGAGCAGAATGCACTACTTACTGTGCTGATCTCGGCTAGACTTCAAGCCATTGAAGATATGTGATGGGGTTGAAGAAGCGTCTTTGTCTTGGCTGTGACTACGATGCGAATGATCTGTTGGCACAAGGCTAAAGGCGCGGGGTACCGAGGGTGAGGAACTTTCCACTTCTCCGTTGTGACTGAACTGCGGTATGGCTGGCAGCGGCGGCTTTGCCATTCTACCCCCTCCCGGCTTGGGTATGATATCGTAGAGTATCCGATACTGCTCTTCCGAGTCGAAGAGCTGCTTCTTGGTGTCGGAGAGCTCCTGCGTGATTTTGGAAAGCTGTTCCTGCGTACATAGCTTCTCTGCGTGTTCTTTGTTGGTGGTTGTGCGAGCATCACGCACTTCCTCGTGGAGGCGAGTAGCGAGCATGCCATGCTCTTCTTTGATCTTCGCTATCTCCGCGATATGCGCAAGGTCTTTGGTCCGCAACTCTTCCTCTGCTCTAAAATATGCGATACGTAATCCGGCCTGTGCGGCGTCCTCATCGGGATCGGTCTTGGCTTCTACAGCTGTTGTGAACAACTCGTTAGTCTTCATACTCAACGCAAGATTACACTCCTGGGTTCGAGAGCCAATGTTTTTGTTCTCTTCGGATAACTCACCTGCAGAGTCGAGTTGTTCGTGAAGTTGAGCGATCTCGGTGTCTTTCACTCGGCATGTCTCGCAAAGCCCTTCCGTCTTCTTCCGTTGGTCCTTCGAGGCCTCGGTGTTCTCCTTGAGGGCATGGTTCTCCTCCCACAGCTGTCCGATTCTGACGTATAGATCATTCAGCTTTCGCTTCTGTTCGTCAACGGTACTCAAAGCAGTGTCGCGTTCATGCCGAAGTTGAGACTCGCTCTCGTTGACCTTAATCACTAGGTCCATTAGGCTTTGTGAGTATGGCGAGATGACAGTAGTATCGTCATTGAGGTGCTTCTTGCAGGCAGCAACAGCAGTAGTGAGTTCTGGGGTAGGTTCAAGGACTGCGAAATCGCTGCGAGTATCACTGGATTGAACGTCGCAATGCTGTTGAGGAACTTTCCCGTCGACGGGACTTGAACGCGACATTTCTCACATCCGGAAAGATGGGCAATGGGCGAGAGTGGAAGAACAGTGTGCGTAGTAACAAGGGTGTGGAGGCAGATATTTCGCGTCCTACGAGGAAAGCGGTGGGGGTGCGACGCGTCCACGAGTACGCTTCAGGAAAGAGCAAACGGGCGTAATCACGTGCGTGTTAGTCAGCGCGAGCTGAGAAACAGCGCATCAATTGAACTTTGGCCTGTTCGATGGTATGTGTAAGTGAGAACAGTCGAGAACGCAATACCTAATGACTTTATTCGTTTGATTAATGCTCCAAGAGTACTATCATGAATTACCACAGCTTCCATGAGCTCCGTGCTTCAACAGTACTGTTGCAAGGGACTGCTGTGCCGTTGCTTGGGCTAACAACGCTCTTGCTCTGAATTCCAGTACCCTCGCTGGTGCTTTCGGTACCGTTGTTCGGGCTTCCAGCGGTAGTCACCCTGCTGTTACCATTGAACGCAAGTAGGTTCACCGAGCCCATGGGATCCGTCACGACATTGGGCGTAGCCAGCGCATACACCCTCGCCTTGACATCGGCAGCAGTCGATGGTCCTTCGAGACCACGCAGATACGAGACCAAGCCCGCTACGTGAGGAGATGCCATGGAAGTACCAGTCAGCGTCCTCGTCTCTGTGTCGCCCAGGTTGGATGCCGATACAATGTTCGTTCCAGCAGCAAAAATGTCGACCACAGCGCCGTAGTTGGAACCTCCACCGCCGCTGTGCCTCTTGTTGGTGATTTCGATGTTTCCAACACAGATAACTTCAGGGGAGCGAGCTGGCGAGCTGTTGATAGCAGGGGAATCCTCATTTCCTGCCGATGTAACGACGAGAACGCCTTTCTTCCATGCTGCAGTGATGGCGGCATCCCATGTTGTTGAAGCGGAAGAGCCAAGCGAGACGTTGATGACGGCGGTGTTTTGGCGGCCCTTGGCAACAATGTCGTTGACCGTCCAGTCAAATCCAGCGAAGACATCTGATGCGCTTCCGGAGTCACCGTCCATAACCTTTACGCCGATGATGGTGGTCTTCTTAGCAACACCGTACTTGGCGCCACCCGCGGTTCCAGCTACATGCCTAAGACTTGTCAGAATGTGAGAATGAACGTTTCAGAAAGTGTGACTCACGTTCCATGGCCTTCGTTGTCGACGTCGGCAGTGCCTCTCACGGCATTAAAGCCCCAGATTGCTCGTCCCTCGAAGTCGCTATGACTGATACGGACACCAGTGTCTTGAAGATAATGTTAATCCCAAGTCAATATTATAACCAATGTCGTGCTTACCCATAACGTAGGTGAAGGTGCCTTTGCCCGCGGTGTCATCGTACACATATGAAGTGGCTCCTACCTTGCGGGAAGAGATGCTGGCTAGACCCCACGGTGCGTTCGCTTGAGTCACCACCGCGTTGATCCTCATGATAAAGTCCGGCTCGATGGTGAGGACCTCAGGGAGAGCCTTCAGCTCTTCAACAGTCGCCTCATCGAACGATCCAGCGTAGGCTTTGAAGTCGCCAAACCCGTACTCGCGGTCCACTGGAGCACCAACGGGACCATCGTCGCCTCGTCGAGCAAGGTTGCGGGCATGTATGCTGCGCACAGTGTTGTGGTGGGCAGCGATGGATTCGACGTCGGTATCAGGCTTCAGCTGGACGATGTATTTTCCGGGGATAATCTCGTTTGCTGGAGGCGCCACAACGGGAGCAGCTTGGGCCAGGAAAGGGGCTGCAGCTGCAGCGAGCGCGGTGAGGCGGGTGAAGAACAGCATTCTGCCTATGGATTGTGTGTGCGGCGTGTGGAAATCAAGGTCGACTTGCCTACTACTGCTGGACTACGTGCGCTTTTTGACTTGCACCGTCTTTGTCGCATAGGCTACGGTACGACTAATCGTTAATCCAAGCATCGCGCTTTTCTTGACTACTGCCTGTTTGGGCACAGCTCCCGTAATGCACTTCGTATAAGAGGCGATGCCGGTAGTGGTAGTTGAGAATCTTCCGACTCATGGTCGGCCAAGGCGGTCGCGCCAGGGGTAATTTTGGAAACGGGATGGAAAACAACCCTGTTCCTCCGGCCAACGCTTTCTACTTCGAGCGCAACTACCGGGCGCGAAGCGATGAACACGGGATCCGGCGTCGTATTTTGTGGATAGATCCCACATCGGAATGCGCTCCGCAAAATCGGGCCTTGTAGAATCAATGCCATTGTTCGCGACAACAGAACAGGCAGGTTCCAAGAGTCTGTATATTGCGAAAGGTTCGAAAACATGGGGAGAGATAAGAATTAGTCTGGGCAATGGAGCAATCTCAAGGGTAAAGACGGTAGATGATGAAGAACGCTGCTCAGAGTGGTGGACTTTTCGGAGACGACAGTCTGCGGTGCATTTGAAGCCGAAGTGCGTCAGCCCAACAGATGCAACGAGAAGGAGACCATCCAGTCAAGAGGTAACAGCGTGAACTATTGACGACTTGAATTGTGTGATGATCCCGTACTGGAAGAATCCGCTGGGCGGGCGGTCCCGAGATCTTGAGCGGCTTGCGGCAGATATCGGCGCGACTACGGAAGTAGATAGCGAAGACTATCAGTCCAATCCATTGAGCTGGTTATTGATTTGACACCGGCCAGTCGCTGCTTCATGGTATCTGTGTTTGCTGACCCGCGAGTGGCTGGCTGTTGTCGACGCACAATGTGTGTAGATGATGGGCATGCGGGTGAAAAGGAGTAGCGAGAAAGCCGCTCCGGTCGAGAACAGGCTAGACTAGTCGCGATGGATGACTCAGCAACTTCCGAAGTCCCTGCGCGTCGAAGCTGTCGCAAACATCAACATCAAGATGATCATTCAGGTGTACAAGGCCTTGCATTCTGTAGATATTGATGGCTTCCTCTTGCCCCACAACGCCTCTAGCATATCGGAAAATCTAGTCATCCTCTCCAAGTACTTCTTCCTCCTCATCATCACCAAACTCAAAGATCATCTCAACTTCGCGGTTGATGTCATCGTCATCATCCATCTCGTCCGTCTCATGCATCTTCTCGGCCTCTCCAGCAGCATGTGTCTCATTACGAGCGTCCATCTCATCCCTCGTAAGATGCGCGTCTCGTCCAAGTTGTATCCTGCCGTTGGCACTAAGCCTGGGACGTTTGTCAGACTTGCGCGGAGGAGTGGGCAGCAAATCGTCGTCATCGTCATCGTCATCTTCGTCGGAGCCGGACTCGATAGAAGTCTCGCCGTCCGAATCAAGCTTACGCTTCTTGCCGGATCTGTTGTGTTCGGACGGTCTCTGCGGCTTCGCCTTTGCCAAGAAGTCGGCGATGTTAATAGCCTCGCCAGGATAGCGCTCGTCATCCGGGATGACTTCACCAGCTTCAATACGCGCAGCCAGCTTCTGGCCCTCGATGTATAGCATGCCCAAGGGCTCGTTGGGTTTATTGGTCATCTGCTGTCTCGCCCAACCACTGACCGAGTCAACTGAACGCAGAAGCCCTGTCTTCGCGACAAGGGTAGCCTGGAGATCATCCCTCTGATTCTCCATGACCCGAGGCAGGAACTTGTCCACGCCATTCTTCTTGACCCAAGTGTTCACCCACTCGTACACGATAGCGCGCTCTTCATCGGTCCAGGGATCGCGAGCCTTGGTTGCCTCGCCAGTGTCACGATTACGCCATTGAGAAAGCTTCTTGCGGTACTTCAAGACCCATGCGTCATCGTTGAGATCGATTAGATCAAGGTGGTCGAGGTCGACGAGGTGTTCGTGGATGTACGCATGTGTGGCTGTGTCGAAGACCATGAACTTGAAGGTAGGTGCCCAGCTTGTCTCCCCGCGCGTCCAGGTTTCTCCATCATCTGAAGTCACCCAAGACGTGTCTTTCCGCTTGTTCGGGATGGTGACGGTAGCGGGGTCAGGAATGAGATACTTCGGACGGGTTTTGTCGCGCCACATGCGGGTCAGCTCTTGCTCAGTGTACTTGATCGCGATTTCCGGGATGACGTCCAGTTGAGCGAAGACCTTCCCTAGCGGAGTGGTGACACGGTGGTGCACTCGAATCTGCTCGCGGTCGTCCATCACGCGCATGTACTCCTCCGCATCTAGGCGGGCCGTCTGATTGAAGACCGGCTTGGGTCGCTTGTGTTGCCAGTTGTCGAAGTCGTACTGGAGCACGTATATCGATTCGAAGAAGGCTTTCATCTTACCGAATTTCGTCGGGTTCGTCCAAGGGTCGACATCAGGTTCGATGCCTTTCTTTCTAGCTTTCTCCACCAACGCACCGTACAAGGTCACCAAATCTTTACTCAAAAAGAGCTGCGATAGTGATTGGTGTTCTGGATTCCTGTCGCCATGCACTCGGTTCTTAGGTTCCGCGGTTAGGTTCGCCTGCGACTGCTTCTTGATCGCCGCAGTCAAATATGGGACGAGCTGGTCGCACAAGTTCTGATATTGCCGGATCCGCTCGGAACCATCACTTTTGGCGGACCAGTGTGTCGCGACGCCTTCTTCGGTGACATCTCCAGCCAGAAAGGCGTCGAGTTGTCGAACTTGAGCCGGAATGTCCAAGTCAACTACTGGCTGCGAAGGGTGTCGCGTCAACGCTAGCAGAGTCGAGCATGTCAGGAGAATGTGTAATTTCTCTGGGTTCAAAGGTACGTTGGATGGTGCTGGCGGAGTCTTCGTCTCGTCTTCGTTGTCGCGATTTTGCGCAGTGTTTCTGGCAGGCGCAAGCTCGCTGACGCGGTCATCTGTCACGATGGTGGACGCAATCGATGTGTCTAGAGTGCAGAGCGTCAGCATTACTTCAAAATATGTCCATAGGTGGTAGTGCAATATTCACAATCCTGGTCAATGTCGTTGGCGGTGTCGCCATTCGCAGGCGGCGTCACATCAACCCGCTCGTCTTTGTCGCTCGCCATTGTGCAATTGCTATACTCGTATGCAAACCCGTCCAAAAGTCTCTTGATCACGCCTGAGGTGTTACTTGCTTAGAGCCTGACGTGGATAGCAGATCATCTGGCAACAGTCAGTGCGCGAGGAGCCTTGGCAATCGAAGGTGAAGAAGACTTGCGGGTGAGCAAATAGCTAGCAGAACGAGCACATAATGACGCCATAGCAAACAGCAACATCATCTACTTACAAAGAGCGAATGTAAATGTCAATCGCTGGGGAGGTGTAGGGTTCTCCGACACTGTGTCCCAAGCACCTCCCATACCGCCTCCCGCTACGAGAACAGTGCGTGTTATTGTAACTGGTACAAATGGCGGACTGGGTAAAATGATAAGGCCAGTGACGATGACCGTGATGTAGGATGCTGCGCAGTGGGTTATTGGGGAGGCTTGAGACGGCTACCGTACCGGCTTGTACTGCTGAAGTTAGCAAGAAGAGGTAATGTTGAGGTACACATTGCGTTGATAGCATCACGGAGTACTACTTAGAAAAAATTGAATTGTTCCAAGCTATTGCATACGAACACATACATGCGATACAAAGCTACTTTACTAACTACACATACTTTTGTGGCTATCGTATACACCCCATCATGGTGTCTTCAAGCCCGCCATTCATCCAACCTGAAGAGGAATTCGCGAACTCCAGTGCTCCCCATATGTTCCAAAGAGATGTTTTAGCCGCTCCTCGAAGCCCTTGACCGTGAATGTAGCATTTTTCGGCGTCATGACGTACCTCCAGGGACCTTCATGCACAACCGAGAAGGTATCATCGCTATCGTTCTTGACACGCGAAGCGAAATAAGCCGGATCAACGACGATATGTATGTGGAGGCTGAGATTGTGAAGGCGTTGGAGCAGCTCGAAGAAAGCACGCAGAACGCGTCGCACTTGGCGGACAGTTTGAGCCTTTGTACCGTGACCCGTCTCGATGATTATGAAGATCTTGGCGCCTTTGCTGAGTCTGCACAGTTCCTCTAGGCGAGCGAGAACGATCTCACGGTCTTCCAAATGATGCTCCGTCACTACCAGACTCAACCTTCTCATTTTGCAAGCAAGATCGAGGCCACCGCGCTCGTCAGCTGCGTAGTGCTTAAAGACCTTGCCCAGTAGCTCGTGTCGAGCGCGAAAGTCAAAACGGGCGTCTTGCTTGAGCAGCTCACTTATGATGTCCATGTGCAGTCCGATACCGGTGTACTCCTCTTCGAAAGCGTGTCGTAGAGTCGAGAGGCCGTTGACAATAGAAATCTTGCCATCTTTGCTGGACAGGAAAGTGACGGAGGTTTCGGTCAAAAGATGCCGAGCAATGATGTCGCGTAGTTCCTGCGGCAGCCGTTCATGGACGGCTTCGCAGAAAGGGCGACAGCTGGCCTTGGCCTGAGCCTCTATCTGATCGGTGAAGCTAGTCCGTGCCAGGCGTAGCTCTCGTCCAGCCTTCCTCGACGCTTGCTTCTCTTGGATGAGCTTCGCTTTGGGGTTCGCTTTCTTCATCTTGTCAAGCTTGGCCGCCTTGTCATGGAAAGCCTCGCTAAGCCTGACAATCGAGTTGAGGGTCCTGGCAATTGTCAGTCTCGTGCACGTAGTGAGCAGGATCAAGCGTACCTTTTTGCCTCAATATGCCAATTGCCGGAGCTCACGACACCGATGGTGGTCATAATGGCGTTTTGTAAGGAGGTGCTTGTGTAAGGCTTGCTCGTCGATCTGATGAGAGGGAAGGACCAGTGGGTGTTCGTGGTGATGCACACGAAGTCACGATAGGCTCAGTAAGCGACGGGAAGAGGTTCTCGGCGGCGGCTTAACGCGACAGAGGTGACAGCTGCGGTTGCAATGAAGCGCGACGAAGTTTGGTGGTCATTGTTGATTGCGCACTGGATAGCGCAAACGGACGCCGGGGCAGTCACGGCCCGGTCATCACGTGGATGACGCGTGACGAGAGATACGGTTTAGCCAAGCATGACATGAACGGCGCGCATTACAATCTGTAATCCTTCAACGACGATGGCCTCCAACGCATGTCAGCTGGGAGCCAAAGGCTAGTAGAGGGTTGTGTACTCACCCCCAAGCCATGCCTGTGACGTTCACAGGCATGCAGTTTGTTTCCTGCTCCAACGCATCCATCTCTTCTAGACGATACTGGAATTCGTCTACCAAGCCGCGGTCATCTCCAAAACCAGCAATGCTGGCACCGACAACATAGCCAGCCTTTCTCAACCGGCACAGACACTCAATCATGGGGGCTGTACCCTCCAAGAGGAGAGCATTTTGTGCATCATCGGGCATCGCCGAGGTATCGATATAGTCAAGATGAATGAGTATGGATGCACCGGTTCGCAACTGAAACAATAGCTCGAGATCTCGAATTTGTTCTTCCCAGCTTCGAGGAGAATACATCCGAAAGAGTGCGTTACCAGGACGGTCTTTCTTCGGGTCGAACGCTAGAAAATCTGGAGAGACGACGATGCAGATCTTCGTAATGAGCTTATAACGCGAGGTGTGTAGAGAAGGGGCATTCTCGTCAAGAAAGCGCCTCAAATCCACGAGGTGCCACCGTACATTGAAGGTGTTTGCGCGGTACCAGACGGCCATCATTCTCGCCAGCATAGCCTTGCCGACATACTCGACCTTCCAGTAGTGTGCGGGTGGATGATACTGGTCACAAGCATAAACGGGCTCGCAAGTCCCACCCGCTGCAACGCCCGTGCGACTGTGGCCTATGACGTGTTCAATGATCATGTCACACAACTCTGGGGGCAGAGAAATGAGGATCTTTTGGCACATGTACCTGCATGACGCTCTTCCATAGGTATCGAAGATCTTCAAATTTTGTAAGGCTCGCGTAGCGGTCTTATGTTTCCCAGAGGCAAATTGCGCATGGATACGCTGACGGGCGCTGGTCATTTGCGTTAATGTGAGCCCGGATGGACGAGGGTTGCCTGAACTCACGCAACAGCCTGTTGATACAGCTTTAACACTTCTTTGGCAGTTGTTTCTTTACGCATGACGTTTTTTCAATTCTTGTGATAATGATCTGTTTAGAAGGAGGAGGGATAGACGCAAGGACGACTTGACATCGTGCGGGGCTAGGCAGCAGCGCGGGTATCTAGATAGCGTCTTGGCACTGTAACACGCATGCGCGGGGCGCAAATGCCATCCCAGTTGGATCGTGACATTGGCAGCGTGAAGTCGTAGGTGGTGTGCGTCTCCTATTCATTGTCAGCCGAGAGCCTACCGCCATGTTCAACCGGACACTTACAGCCATACCAGATTTGAGCCATGCCCAGTGGAAAAGCAACTTCGCGTATCATCCGTCGACTTCTCCGAAACCGAGTCATAGAGTGAGCCGTTGTTCGGCCAGGTTGATGATAGCATGATGCCGGTGGAAAGGCCGTATCCAGCAGCCGCCAAACGTGACAGTAAGTCAGCTATAGTGGCGGTAAACTCACGCAATACCTTTATTTCGTGATATGCATATCGATCTGGTGTCCTTGCGAGTATGGTGTAGCTATGGGGTACAATGACATAGACATGGATGGAGGCGCCTTCCTTCAATAAGAACAGGTTCTCCAGTCGTTCTAGCATGCGTGTGCGGGATGCGGAGTCCCTCACCACCCCTCCTCCCGAGGGTTGCATATGAGTCCCCACGTCTCTGAGGTCGAAGGCGATACTGATCTTTGTGACAAGCAGCTGGCGGGTTGTGTCCAAGGGTGCTGGTTGAGACGAAAGGAAGCGTTCGAGATAACCCAGATCCTGTCCAAAGTGAAAACGAACCAAGCGATACCAGACTTCGAGTATCTCTTTCGAGGTCGCGTCGCCAACATTCTCGGCTTGCCAGTAGCGAGGGCCCGATTTGGAGGAAGTTGGCTCGCTTGTCGGCAATGCAGCAACGTCGCGTACTACTGAAGACAAGACGTACTCGTAGATCATGTCTCTAAGTTCCCTTGGTAGTGTCGTAATTACGTTGTCGCAGAGTTCCTGACATGCAAACTCGTGATTGGTGTCCATGGCCTTTGTGGCGGAGCGTCCGGACATTTCCATTTTGTGTTGTGAGATCCTTACAGCAGTGGCGAAGCAGCCAAGATGAATTGCAGGCGCGCTGTTCGAGGCGAAAGTAGGATAGAGCGTCGAGATTACCAAAAGTACCGGTCGCGATGAGAGAGCCGGGAGGCGGAAGGTCAGGGGCGCAGAGCGGGGTTATGTAGCACCCTTGGACCTGCGCAGGCATACCCACGGCAAGCTGCCTGGGTATTGTTCTGCTTTCGTTTGTTTTGATCCACATCGGATCCATCAAAATCATGTGTCGTTCAGCCTAGCGACTGTGGTTTCACTTCATGACAGCTTGTAGAACGACGTGATGCGGAGGCTCCCTAGCGAACTAGGTACTGTAGCGTGGAAGCTAACCAGGTTGGGCAAACCTCACGCGTGATCACGCGCTTCTCGGCGCGTCGTCCCCCGCAGCTATTCCAGGCCACTGGTTGACACCCCAAGACGTCGCTCGGCTTTCCAAGGCTACTATCCTCGATTGCCATGTGATTTCGCGTGACGTGGGGATCAGGTAGCGGATCCCAACGCGACTCTTCGCTCCGTGCAACAAGACAGACCGCGTCGACTGAGCAGCACCTCCACAGCTTCCTCCACAGCTTCCTCCACCACCACTCCGAGAGCCACACTCTCTCGCGCAAGACGCAGATATGCCGAACACCAAGAAGGTATCTGATGGCGAGACGTAAGTGGAAGCCCTCCCAAGTGTTGTAAATGTGTTGACGTATTTGTAGTCTGGAGCAACGCCTGAACCATTACCTTCGAGCGAAGCAGAACCGCACACAAGTCCTGTTGGCAGATGACCAGCGTATACGAGACCGAATTAACGATATTCAGGCCGAGAAGATGTTACTCGAGGATGAATGTATGCTGCTCGAGGATCGGCTTGAAAGTAATCTGAGGCAACGTCTCGAAGATCGCGAGGGAGAGCCACTTCTGCAGGAGCTGATGGCAGTGGAGCAAAGCAAATGTCGTCCGGTATGCGAAGCTATGCAGCTGAAACTGCCACGCGAAATTCGCGACATGATCTATGAGCAAGTTGTGGGCCCCCCAGCCTGGCACAACGGCAAACATACCGTGCCTGTGGTAGCATCGAAGGATCTCGGTGTCTCGGACGCATTCAAGCTTGTCAGCAACAGTATCGGTCTGTTGGCCAGCGGCGGATATGACCATTTTGGCGAGACCACACGGCAAGAGTTGGCGGAGCACTGGTACACAAGAAGTACATTCGACTTCGGCACAGACTTGCATCTCCTCAAAGCCTTCCTCAACAGTGTTGCTGCCGGTACTAGTTGCAAAGCTCTTGAGATAGTTCGCCAGCTGGAGATTACAATCGACTGCAACGACGAGTTCGAGCCGGAAACCGAGCGACTTCTGACCAGTGCTCTGGCGGATCTTACACTACGGACCCAGCCGGCACGATTACGAATTTACCTACACGACATCCAGGGCGTTGTGCGCTACAATGACGACCGGCTTCTGATCTTACTACACAATGTCAGGCAACTGCTTCCGGACCTTCCTGGTTGGACGATCGAATTCGTTGTGCACATGGTCACGAATGACTGTCGATTATCGCGAGGATGGCAAGGATATGCATTCGAAGATATCATGCCAGGGTATCATGTCAACCTGATGATACCTGGGAAAACAGCTATGTCACTCGATGAGTGGTCGGACAAGTTCAGACAAGTAAGTGATGATCTTACCGTGGCATCACTATGCAAGCTGACTTTGGGAACGCAGCTTCGGAAAGAGCTTGAACAGTACTACGACGATACACTGCACGAAGCAGATGACGAAGATGAAGAAGAGGATGAGGAATCGGAAGAAGACGGTACCGATGACGAGCGCGATGAATACCTGCCTCTTGATAGAGATGAGCTTCTTGAATTCGAGAAAGAGTTGGGCGAGTGTCAGGAGGATACGATTATATGGCGGGCCATGGGTGCCCGATGATTTGTGCCCTCCGCCATCCAATGGGTGGCAGGTCACCATAATCGCCAAGGGAAGATTACGAGCTACCTTTACTTGAGATCAAGGGCCTTACGACTTCATCTTTTACCTTCAATCACTTGGAGACGGACTCACTTGCTAGTGGCCTCATCCTCACCGCGCGGCTACCGACTGTTTCTTGATCGTCGGTCTACTATTTAATCTATCTCCTGGGCCGACTCTCCTTCTACCCTTCACCAACCCACATTCTGGTTCATCTACCGAGATGGCAATCCCAGCAACAAAGTCTAACATGAGTGAGCACCTACGCGTGAAGTGCAACGAGTAAGTCGTGTTCCCTGCTTCATGGCCACTGCTGATCTTAATTTGCAGGGCGCTGAAGCAAGAACGCAAGACCGAGCTTCAGCTGGCGGCTGCGCAGACCAAGGTCAAGAAATTGCGACGCCGCTGCAAGAAGCTGCAAGAGACCTCTGATGGCGACAAGACCGAAACGGCCGACGCGTTCCTGGCGTTTGCAAAGAACGACTGCCTAGAGTTCTGCAACCAAGTCCACAAGACGTTCCCGCGCGAAATTCGAGACACCATCTACAGCTACATCACTGGTTTCGAGGATATCAACATCGATTGTGACAAACACGGAAACCTTGAGTATACCGGATACGGTTATCCGGCGTGGGGTCAAGAGCTTTGTCATGATCCTGCGTATGATGGGACCGATCACTGGTGGAAGCCCGAATATGTGGGCGCAGCGATGGTCTGCGAACTTGGTGAGAGCTTCTACCGCTCTTCTTGCTTTGTCTTTCAGGGCGATCTTGCAGCCCTTGGTCCCTTTCGAGCCACAGATCAATGGAACCTAGGCTTCTCGCCAGTCGATTTCGTCTCCAAGGTAGAGGTCAAGATCAACTGCCAGGACTACAAGTTCAAGATCACCGACCGCCGCACGCCCACCGATCTTTCCATTGAGCCACATCATTCTCAAAGTTCCGCGAGGATGCTTAACAAGAAGAACATGCGCATCAATTCCCCGCTGGAAAAGCTTCTTGTCAAGCTAGAGTCGCTGTTTGGCTTCAGGGCTGGCACCAAGATCGCCATCGAACTGCTATCCCACCATCCCGGAAAATTCACCGCACTTGAACAACAGGAATGGATGTCGCATAACGTCGTTCCGGTCATCTTACCCGTTCTCACTCGACTTAAAGCCACAGGCTGTCGGGTTCGCATACTCTTATCGGTCGATTCTCGCTGGCCCTCCACAACATTTGCTTCAGCCTGGGATCAGATCTGTTTCGAGGCTATCACAAAGGAGTTTTGGGAGGTATGTGATAAGAAGATCACGTGGACGTCTTCTTGATGAGCTGACTTTTTTCTAGCATGTCGGAGTTGAACAGAAGCGCATCACACAAGCTGAGCTTGATGCTGAACCCCTCGATGACTCCGATGATGGCACGGTTCCTGCAGGCGCTTGGAGTGTCGTCCCTACATCGACTGCGTGGGATGATGCGGGCGATATGCAAGCCTGGTCGTTCAATGGCCCGTCCTGAATATGGAATGTTGACCGTCCAGATGAGCGACATCGATGATGTCGATTCCCAAAAGCGCATACCAACATCCCTGCTTCGACTCTTCTGGATACTCCAGCGGTAGTCCTTTTCATTTATGCGAGCGGTCCTGTCCTCTCAGATTCAATCATTTCCTGATAGTTGCTCTCTGCGAGCTTTGCGGCCAGGCCGCGATGAGACGGTCTTTTGGCATTTTCACCTCTTCCAAAAGGTTTGTGATATACCTTGCTTCAACTCCGGTATCTAGACAGAGCAAAAATCACTCCACTCAATGTAAGCCTGCCCTCATCAAAGACTCCGTGAAAGTGACATTGTCCGCCACAACGGCCACAAAGTGCAACATTGACCAGGCGAGGGAACTCCATGATGACGCAATGATTGCGGGTGGTCTCAGTCTCAGTCGCCAGGTAGACGCACGACCGTTTCTCCCACTCCTTTCCTCGCCTACAAATAGGGGTGCATCCTCAGCATTGGTCGCCTGGTCTCACTACACGATTCCACACCCCGCTTCAACCACTACTTCATCTTGCAAATCGTAGACATTACAATCCACCTTACTCGTACCAAAATGACAGCCCCATCACGGCCAGAAGAGCAGGAAGAGCAGCTCCGCGACAAGTGCTACAAGTAAGTCCCGCACGAACATCGCGACATATAGCTACTGACGTACAACAGGCTACTCCACACAGAAGCCAAGCTCCTACAACGATGGAAAGAGGAGGATGCGCGACACGAGGCTCGTAAAGCCGAACTGCAAGCACAGAAAAACGACACCGTCAACGAACTAAACAAGTACGCTCAGGTCACTTGCCGTAACCTCTGCGACAAGATCTTCGAAGTCTGTCCACGCGAGATACGCGATTACATTTACGCGTACCTCCTTCCCGACTCCCCAGTCGTCTTAGAGCATTGCGACCATCGCGATTGCGATAGCAAGCCCTGCGCCAAGGGAAGCGAAACACTGTATTACTTCGTTGAACCCCACAGTCATCTCTTTAAACCCGCATACGTCACCCCAGAATTCTCCGTAGAGCTGCTCGAAAAGTACTATCGCACATCCACGTTTGACCTACGAGACCACTTTGCGAGGTTGGGCGCCTTCCGGAGCTTGGACAGAGGAAACCTTGGTGTCATACCAGCCAACTACATCCTCAACGTTTCCCTGTTCATACAATGCGAAAAGTACGACTTCGACGGGGTAACGGCACCGTTGGCCAGCCCGTACGGTAGACATCCGCTCAAACCCCGTCGAGCGCTGCTCGCAGACCTCGAAGCACTATTCGGTTTCAAGGCTGGCACCAAGATCGATTTACACCTCCTCGTAAACCGTGACTGGTTGTCGAATGCGCACGTTGCCGAAGACTGGGAGTGCGACACCGTCGTTCCAGTCATCCTGCCGACGCTGCGTAGGCTAGCTGCTGCCGGTACAAAGGCCATGTTGTGTTTTGATCATTTTGGGTCGGGGGTGACTATTGATCATGGAGACGTCACGATGGAGGAGATCAAGAGCGGTTTGTCGAAGAAGATTGGCAAATGAGCCAGTTTTAACAGTTCCTTGTGTTGAAGCTGGCAAAAACTGCTGGCAATGCTAGGCGATGAGGCTGTCTGCTCCTTGCTTCTTTCCTTCCCGTCCTGACGGGTGTCTTGCCCTCAAATATATGGGTAGAGTTTTCGAGGAGCTGATGGCTGGCGTAAGCGGAGTATGCGGTCGATCGCAAGTCATGCAGGGTCCAGACCGCATACGCAGGGCGTGAGTACCTGAATAAGCGATCAGCAGCACCCTGATAGACCATAGTACGACTTCTTGAAATTGGGACACGTTCTCTTCGTGATCCTTTTCAATCTCGGTTAAACTACAAACTATGTGCATCGTGATGTACGCGATTCCAAGGACAGATGAGATTGGTGGTGTGGGTGCTTGTACATGCGTGCATCTTCGGAAGCGTGCTTTGAGGTACGCCAGCGAGCTCATGGATGCGCATCTTGCACGATGTCTTGTCAGACTAACAGCAATGATAGAGCACTCTCCGAAGAAAATATACGCAAAGCGCGTGTCGCAAAGCTGCAAGAGGAGCTTGCAAGCCTGGAGAAAGATCTCGCCAACACCACACCATCAACAAGAGACGCAGTCGAACAAGTCGCTCGGACGGAATGCCAGCAGCTTACCAACAACATCGTGACCAAGTTACCACGTGAGATACGCGATATGATCTACTTCCACCTCAGCACACGAGACCGCGAGCTCATCGAGCGCGAACACTTCCGGACGACCCTGGATCCGATAACGAGGCTCTACTCGTACGACTTCAACAGATGGAAAGCGCAACACTTCCCCGCGCACTACTGGAACACCGATTACGTTGGCCAGCCCTTCTATCGCGAACTCGTGGAAAACTACTACCGAACGAGCACCTTCCTCTTCGGCGACGACCCAGGCGTAATGAAGCGTTTCCTCACCACCGACGAAATGAAACTAGGCATTCCCCCAAAAGCACTAGTCTCCAGCGTCGAAATTGGATTGAATGCCGTCTCGCATGACCGCGGTTCGTTCCGCGCTTACATGTTTGGCATACCCAAGTCACCGGAGCGAATGCGTGAGGCTCTCGATGGCATCTTCGAACTGAAGCCTGGTGCTAAGATAGTGATTCGTTTTGTGACGGAGGCGAAGACTAAGGAGGAGAGAGATGAGCATTGCAAGGGGGCGATGGCGATGCTGTTTGACGACGCGCAGGTGGAGAAGATGAAGATGTACAAGGTTAAGTTTGTGGTGGATGAGGGGCAGGTTTGGGATTTGGCGGAGGCGATGAGGGAGGAGTGGATGGGTATTCATGGATGATATCTTGCAGCGTGTAGATCCGATACAATTTTCAGTCTACATGTCAAATGATTGTTGGGCATACGAGAGTGATGACGGACAGCACGCAAGAAGTGCGGAAAGGGAAAGCTGCCCAAAGCCGCTAGCGTGTAATCTCTACCTGATCTGATTGGACAAAGCCGATGTCGTCAGGGGCCGGGGGAAGGAGCACCCCGCCATGGCAGAAAATGTTATCGCGACACCCCTCAGCGCATGTTTCTACGCGTCAAACACTTTCCAAACTTCTTCAAACCTCAATTCCAATCTCGCATTTCGTTTAGACGCGTCTCAATTCCATATCGCAAGATGGCTGGCGTTCCTAGTACTTACGATGGTGCGCACCTTCCGTCCCGTGCTCGTCTGGCCCATTGCTTACCCCGTATCCAGCGCCCGTTCACATTGCCGTCATAGGCGGCACTGGTATCTCTTCCCTACCAGGCTTCACCCTCGCCGCTACACTCGACGTCGACACACCATGGGGCAAGCCATCATCACCCGTCTCCATCCTACAACACCCGTCGCCCTCGACCGGCAAGCCTATTCCCATCGCATTCATCTCCCGACACGGCCTCCACCACGAACTCGCGCCTCATGAGGTCAAGAACCAGGCTAACATAGCCGCGCTGCGACACATCGGTGTACGCACCATCATCGCCTTCTCCGCCGTTGGATCTCTCCAAGAAGAAGTGCGACCCCGCGACTTTGTCATCCCCGACCAAATCATCGACCGCACAAAGGGCATCCGGCCATTCACCTTCTTTGAGGGAGGCATGGTTGGACACGTTGGCTTTGGCGACCCCTTCGATAAGCAGCTCTCCAAGATCGTCAGGCAGTGCGGACACGCACTGGAGGGAGACGGTATCACACTCCACGAGAAGGGACTCCTCATTTGCATGGAGGGACCGCAATTCAGCACACGCGCCGAGTCGAACCTCTACCGTTCATGGGGCGGCAGCGTAATCAACATGTCTGCTCTGCCTGAAGCAAAGCTCGCGCGCGAGGCTGAGATCGGATACCAGATGATCTGCATGGCAACAGACTACGATTGCTGGAGGGGTGACGGCTCTGAGGACGTCAACGTGGAGATGGTCATGGCACATATGAAGGCAAACGCCGAGAACGCCAGGCGGTTCGTTGGCGCAGTGCTGAACGAGCTCAGCAAGGAGGAGCACACGGAACAAGTGCTTGCTAAGCACCTCGACGGACAGATGAGATTCGCAGGCGCCATGACAAAGAAGGAGGGACGCGGATCAGAGGCCGAGAAGAAGCTCCAGTGGCTCTTCCCTGGCTACTTCGACTGAACGCCAAATGCTACTAAGCGCGCCATTGACAAAGGCGCATGACATTTGACTACGATATACTCCGATATTTAGGACGCGGAAATACCTACCCCGATCAAGAATCTATGCATGCGCCCGACGGCTGACCAAGTTTCTAGAGGTAAGACGCAGCCAGAGGCGCCGATTACGGCAGGTCGATAGCAGTGGTTACCCCAAAACTCCAAACAACTCCATGTTTACATCATGGAAAATATGCATTAGCCGTATCGATAACTATCCGTCGCCAGCAGCCCGTTAGACATCCGCGGGCACTTGTCAAGCTCGATCTCACGATTCTTTCCCTTAGCACCTTCCTTTCTCGTCTATGATCTGCATTGCTACCTGCCGCAATCGCATCTGCAGCTTCCAGCCTACACAATGAACTGTCGAGATGTTTGTAATATTGAGAAATGGCTGAGTGAGAAAAACGGGCTTACGGACTGCTCGAGTATCCTGCTCGGGTGACTACGGTGTATTGCGCTGATCAGGTACCAGGGTGTGGCGAGTCAATCAGATGAACAGTACCTGCATGCCTGCCATTACCTCGCAACAACGGGCACAAATTGGAGGGTGACACCGCATATCTGTATTCCTTATCATGCAGATCGATACACTTCCAGGATCGAATTTGCATTTGCACCGCGGGGAAGACGCGCGCGCAGCATGATCCCGGTCAGACATGGGTGCACGGCGGCAGTCCTTCTCGGGTCACCACGGGAAGCATGACTATAAGACACATGATATCGTACACAGTAATGGAGCAGCTCTTGCTCGATACCGCATCCACTCGTCACTCTCCTACCGAACGGTAGCATTCGCAACCGTCATCATGGTATCGGCGTGGTTTCTAACAAAGGTCTTTGTGGCTTTTGCGCCACTTACGACGATTGTGTACGCACAGTACAACGTCACCACACCTCAATTGCCTCTGTTGCTGGACGCTACCGCAGACGACTTGGCTGCTGGTCTTGAGGCTGGTGACTTTACAAGTTTGGATTTAGTTCAGGTAGGGTTCCGGTTTTCTCGCCAACATGTGTAGGCATGGATCTACCTTGGACTGCATCGCTGACATAGTGTAGGCTTATGTGGGACGCATCATCGAAGTCAACAAGACTCTGCATGCAGTATTGGAGATCAATCCAGATGCCTGGACGATCGCAAAAGAGTTGGACGAGGAGCGAGCTTGTGGAAAGCTTCGTGGGTAAGTTGTGCTGCAAGAATCTGCATGATCCTTCGCTAACTGAATGCAGCCCTCTCCATGGACTCCCGATTCTTATCAAGGATAATATCGCTACCGCTGACGAAATGAACAACACTGCTGGATCTTGGTCACTGATGGGTGCCAAAGTCCCACGTGATGCGACGGTCGCTGCAAAACTGAGGGAAGCTGGTGCCATCATCCTCGGCAAGGCCAATCTCTCGCAATGGGCTAACTATCGATCTTCGAACTCTTCGAACGGATGGACTGCTCGAGGTGGTCAGACCTATGGCGCGTATTACCCCGGTCAAGACCCAAGTGGCAGCAGTAGTGGTAGCGGTGTCGCTGCTAGTCTCGGCCTTGCCTTTGGAACACTGGGCTCAGAGACAGATGGATCCATCATCTCTCCCAGCCAACTTAACAACGTTGTCGGCATCAAGCCTACTGTCGGACTTACAAGCAGAGCACTTGTCATCCCGATCTCTGAGCACCAAGACACCGTTGGTCCAATGGCCCGCACAGTCAAAGATGCAGCCTACATTCTCCAAGCCATCTCTGGACCCGACAGTTACGATAACTACACATCTGCCATTCCCTGGGCGAGCAACGCAACTAACGCTACCAAGCCCGACTACGTTGCTGCATGCACTCTGGATGCTCTAGAAGGAAAGCGCATAGGAGTACCGCGCAACGCCATCGGCACGCCCAGTCCCCAATCCGCGCCCATCTACGCTGCCTTCACAGCTGCTCTCGACGTCCTCCGCTCCGCCGGCGCAGTCATCGTCGACAACACCAACTACACCGCCTGGGACCAGTACCTCGAATCCAACGCCGAAGGCATCGTTCTCGACGGCGACTTCGTCCCCAACCTAGCGCACTACCTTGAACAACTCACATACAATCCCAACGACGTCCACAGTCTAGAAGACGTCCGGAACTTCACGCAAAACTTCCCCGCGGAGGACTACCCCGACAGAGACACAGCAGACTTCGACAGCTCCATCGCGCAGTCCCAAAACTTTTCAAACACCGACATAGAATTCTGGGAAGCCTACCAAGAAGACCTCTACCTCGGTGGCGAAGGCGGTCTCCTCGGCGCACTATCTACATACAACCTTGACGCCGTCGTCGTCCCTTCGCGCTCTGCATCTGGTATTTCCGCTATCATCGGCGGTCCTATTGTTACTGTTCCGCTCGGTGCGCTGCCGCCCAATACAACGGTTGTCACGAACTCACGCGGTGATTTGAATGCTACAGCGCCGAATATCCCGTTCGGTATCTCTTTTGCGGGTGCGCTGTGGAGTGAGGAGAGTCTGATTGGGTTTGCGTATGCGTTTGAGCAGAGGACTATGGTTAGGACGAAGGTTGTGCCGTGGATTCAGCCTAGTATTGAGATTGAGAATGTTGTTGGTAGTTATTAGAGAGGGACGCGTTGATTTAGTTGGAGTTATACGGGGGGGTGTACGTTGATCGATACGTGGTGTAGGCTGCGGGAGAAGGTTGTACCGTATAACCAGCGTTGTTGTGAGACGGGGGATTCAGTCGCTATCTATCAGATCGGACGCGGGTCAATAGGTATGGACTTGTATGAGGTTTGTAGAGCGGTCGGGAGGATGTGTGTAAGGTCGGTGGGTGGTTGCCACCGATTGTCCGATGGGAATTGTCGCGTCTTACATCATCGCAACCACTACGTGTTGTGATCGCAAACAAGGTTGTCAAACATCTTGCTGTGCCTTATCCTCGGATTTGGTTTCTATTCGTCCAATAATGCCATCGTCTCATTCGCTGTATCGTAGGTGTAGGACAGCATTCGCACTCTTCGCATCACCAGTGTCAAACTGTAAATTGAACAGCCCAGCGCCACTTCACTTCCAAACAAGACTTCTTAGACAAAGCTAGGGATATAATGAATGTGATTTGATGTAGCTTCAGCGTGGCTCTTTGCATAGTCTCGGCGTTAAGCGGATTTAGCTTATACTGGCTGACAAGATCGGGGGGACGTGAGACTTTTGTGGCTTGAGGTCAGTCTGGTATACGACGTGAGGTTAGCGTTCTCCCGAAAGTGTTCGTGGCTTCATGTGTAGCTGGGTTGTTGACGTGGATGGGATCAGGTATAAAGATAGGCAGCAGACAGCGATTGTAAACTACAAAGCGCCTATCAACTCCTTCTGCCAACTCAGTCAAAGAGATATCGTCCTCTTGCATCAACATAATTTTGCAAGCATCAAATTCAATCTTCAATGTCTTCCTCAACGCAAGAACCAACGCACATCCGCAAAGTCGCCCTCATCGGCGTACGTCCCTCCACATCCCATCCTCCATCCATCCCACTAACACCATCAGGGCACCGGACAAGTCGGCTCCCACATCCTCACCCACCTCCTTGGTACGGGCAAACACCAGGTCACAGCTCTAACCCGACATGCCAGCACCGGCACGCTCCCCACTAACCCCAACCTCACCGTCGTTAAAGTCGACTACGACAACAACACAGCCCTCACCGCCGCCCTCTCCAACCACGACTTCCTCATCATAACCCTCTCCGCCCGCGCCCCACCGACTCTCCACCCCCGTATCGTGTCCTGTGCCGCCGCCGCTAAAATCCGCTGGATCATGCCCAACTACTTCGGCTACGGCATCGGTGATCGCGCACTCAGTCGCAAAGCTGAACTTCCTGCCAACTTCGAGCGCTACATTGACGATGTGAAAAGCACACCCGGACTCGATTACACAGCTCTTGTATGCGGCTTCTGGTACGAATTCAGTCTCGCAATGGGGGAACCGTGGTTTGGCTTCCGGATCCGCGATAGGAGCGTGACGATGTATGGAGACGGGATGAAGAAGGTTAATGTGAGTACGTGGGAGGCTTGTGGGAGGGCTGTTGCGGGGTTGTTGTCTCTTCCCGTGCATCGTCAAGATGGCACCGATGGTGTGGCACTGGAGAAGTGGACGAACAAGGGTGTTTACATTTCCTCTTTCCTGGTGTCCCAACGCGATATCTTGGATAGTTTACACCGGGTGCTGCGGACGCGTGATTCGGATTGGACGATTAGGTATGAGGATGTGGAGAAGAGGTTTGGGGATGGGATGAGGGAGTTGGGAGAGGGGAAGATGTTGGGGTTTGCGAAGGCGCTTTATGCGGGGGTTTGGAGGAGTGAGGGGGCTGATTATGAGAGTAAGGGGGGTGTGGATAATGGGGTGTTGGGGATGGAGAGGGAGGATTTGGATGGGGCGACGAAGAGGGCGGTTGAGATGGCGATGGGGACTATGGGGGATGTTGAGGGGCAGTTCAAGTAAAGGGATTTGGTGGGATGTGGGGTCGTGACGTTGTAATTTGAGGAAAGGAAAGCGGGATGATGATTTCGTAGACAGGAAGTTGTGTGTTGAGGAAGGAGCGATGATGTACCATCGGCCATCATGGTTCCTGCTCTAATCATTCGGCTTCTACCCCACCTACATCCTCTCGTTAGCATCTGCCTCCCCTCACTCATTTAAGACGACTTACCAAGATTGCTCCTAGTGGATACGCTTATTTCCAACTCCTACCCTTCTCTATCTTCCCCTCGCTCACAGGTGAACCAAAAACATTCCATTGCGTGGAGCTTCCGCGCACCTGCCATACCAATTCTTCGTCCTTCTTGTCATACGATTTTCTCTCCTTCCATTCTTTCCACCGCTCGCGCAGCGATCTCTTCTCTTTGTTCTCCGGCTCAGGCTCGGGCTCTGCCATGAGGGCGGCGAGGGTTGATGCCGGGACGCCACTGCCTTTGTGACGCGATTGTGCGAGCGCAGAAGCAGTCTGCGGATTGATGGGTGCTCCAGTTGCGGTTTTGCCATGTTGCGGCGGTGGCTTACGTGAAGGCTTGGGGTCGTAGAATGTTGGTTGGTCTGGGTCTGGACTCGGATTCGTGCTCGATGATGTTGGGGTCGATGCCACGATCTCCTTCGCCTGCTCGCTTTCCTTAGAATCCATGTCGTGGGCGGCCAACACGCACAATGCCAGCGTGTGTAAGGTTTGAGGTACGTGGACTGTTCGCAGGATACAGCAATCTGACGATGCTCAGGCGTGCAGCACAACGTTCACAATACATGTTAGCGAGTTGTAGTCAGCCTTGGCCCACATCTGCAGTCAGCATCGTATCATCGATGCATCCTGCCACCTGGCAGTGCCGAACACCCGAATGCGAAAGAAACATATGCGATGATAGGCCGTCATGGGCGCGCCGAGAACCCCGAGTTGCGGCAACAAGTCGACCCAGCATGATCTCAGGCTTCACAAGATATTAGATCCGAAATCAGACACGATAAGAGACTCTACCCAGGGAGGTATGAAGTCGCGTTAATCACGATGTCGCAAGAAAGATGGTGTTGATGGCGCGCGACATTGATGACGCCATGTACTCGATTTGTCAAAGCTTCGGTGGCGGAAGCTCTCCGCCACCCCTCCGCATCATCTCCAATCCGCCGACGAACAAATACTCCACCATAACAACGACCACCACCTTCCCATAAAACGAATCCATATGCGCTTCCCTTCCTTCCCCACATTCCTCCGCGCCTTCCACACGGTCACCAACACAACAAGCGCTTTCATCCGATCGAGTCCTGCTAGCACGCTCGGTCGCACTATCTACAACACGCCACAGCGCGCTGTCATATACCGTTCGATGCCAAATATCCCCTTCTTGGGCGCCCTTTTCGGATCTTCTAGCAGCATGGCGGACAACACGAACTACCCTGTCCAGAAGCCCGAGGGCGAGTGGCAGGCACAGCTATCGCCAGGTACATTTAACACTCGCCCCAACGATCAGCGCACAGTCACTAACACCACGATAGAGCAATTCCGCATCCTCCGAAAGAAAGGCACCGAAATGCCCGGCTCCAGCAAATTCGACAAGCACTACCCTGACGCCGGCGTCTACAAGTGTACCGGTTGCGAAGCGCCCCTCTACAAGGCAAACCACAAGTTCGACTCTGGCTGCGGGTGGCCCGCGTTCTGGGATGCCGTTCCTGGCGCTGTTGGACAGAAGCCTGACCCCGGTCTTGGCATGATGAGGACGGAGATTGTCTGCAATAACTGTGGGGGTCACTTGGGACATATCTTCAAGGGCGAGCGGTTCGGTAACCCCAAGGATGAGAGACACTGTGTCAACGGCGTGTCGATTAACTTCAGTCCTGATGACAAGAACTGAGGGTTGGAGTTTCGGCGTGGATGAGTTGAGGGATGTACATATGGGGTTGTAGGGCTAAGTGTATTAGTGACGACGGAATGAGAGACCTATGATCAGTGGCTTCGCCAAACTCGCGCATGATGTGTAGTTGTTGCTGGCACGGCTTTCTTTGTCCTATGCCCGATTCGATTCAGATACTTGAGTCTTTGGACTACGTCAAGCAGCAATATATTGTTGCAGACTGGTAGAACTTCCCATCATGCTCATCTAACCCACTAACACCACCACCAACAGGCCACCGGCCAAGTCGACTCCCACATCCTCACCCTTAACCAAACATGCTACCACCTGATCGTGCTTTTCCCTTTGCTATCACGGCTTCAATGAACATCTTTGGCCCTGGGGTATTGGTGAGCTCTGTGCTGATCTCCAGATAATGGGCCTGAAACACATCCCAGAGGTCTTTATCAGCCTTGTTGGTGGCAATAGGACGAGGATAGTAGGGATCGTTGAACCAGAATGCCTCAACCAGCTTGCTCACCCCAGCTGCGCTATGCTCGAAAGGCTTGCATTGGTTGAAGTCCAGAAGCCAAAGGGATAAGGTGCGGTGGTTGAAGTCGGTAAGGTACAAGTCTGCTGCCGTATCTTTGTTGGCAGTGAGCACATCTTCTACTGTCGGTTTGCCAGCGATCTGTGGACGACTACCCAGAACAAACTCCACGTCATTAGCATCTACACCAGCCTTCCAGTGAAGAACGGCCAGAGATTTTGCTATGGTCATAGCAAAAGAGCGCGTGTCAAGACGCAGACGCTCCATCTCATCGACATGGAGGGGGAAATTCCGAAGTCGAACGTTCCTTGCTTCCATCTTGCGCGAATCGTTGCGTCTGCCCATGTACAGTCGTACCAGACAATCTTTGTTTTCAGGCCGCTTGAGAAAGTCGCTCTTGTTGTCCTTGACTGTCTTTGGGCATAATGCATCGACAATGGCCTCGCGCACTGGAAAGGGAAGAGGCCATATGCGTTCCGATAAAAGACCGTAGTTAGGCGTCTTCACGACCGCAGGGAATAGGGCGGCGTTATCCTTCCAGAATTCAGTACTCTGCGGGTCAATCCATGCTTCTGCTTGAGGCACATGGATGTCCTTGCAGAGAGACGTGAAGACTGCGAAAGCATCGTATACGAGTCGGTGCATTTGGAAGTCGGTGAAGAGCTCATCTTCTTTACCCGAAGAGTTGGGCAGTTTGGCGACCAGAGTCGTGCCTTTCAAGGCAAATATTGTGCCACATTGACCTTGACCGATGTTGGAAAACTTCTTGAGAGCTGCATCGTCGCGAGCACGTTGGTTTGCTTCAGCGAGAGACGAATTCGTTGATATCGCCGACTTGGTTGACAACATACGTCGAAGTATAACTTCAGGGGATGAGTTGCGCTGATCCTCATCTGTAAATTCGAAGAACTCCCGTGTCGCATTGACTGTGTTGAGAATCAGACTTTTGAGTGAGTCTGATATTGACAACTCGGACGTTGTCGAGTCGTCGGTTCGGTTGTTGTTACGGCGGTTGGACATTGATCGATAGGGTCTTCAAGTGCGGATAAAAAATGAGTGAGTAGAGTAGGATGTATGAAAGGAACTGGAAGCCGCTGAGTACTTAAAAATCATAGAATGTGACTCTATGATCTGTGAACCATGGTTCGCGTTTGCCTGCCAAGGCTGACACCGCATTCGTGATCTGAACGTTCACATTTGCCGCCAATACAAACGCTGATTGATACCCAACCTAACCAAGATTGCTTCTCGTCGAGACGCCTGTTGCATGCTTTCGCTCGTTTTTGCCCCAGATCTGGAATGGCGACTCTCAAACTCATGCCTCTCTTTTTGCCCTTTTGCTCTCTTTTTAGCTCTTTTTGGTGACCTAGCTGGACGAGCAAGCTGATACATTCATCACACGGCTCGTCACGCGACGCTGATAGCAAACGTTGGTCGGTCTATATCTATCGACTTCCTTACGCATCCAGCCAACAACAGACAACCCTGAGTGACATGACATCCAACAGCGAAGACCACGCTAAGACCGATGAAGTCGACGGATGCGCCATATGCATGAAGAAATGGATTACCACATGTACTGGATGCGGCAATATCGGCTACTGCTCCGAGAAATGTCGACAAGAAGACGCGCCGCAGCATAATACCATCTGCAGCACTTTCAAGGACTTTCAAAACCGGCCAAGCGAAAAACACTTTCGAGCCCTGTATTTTCCTGCCGATGAGCCCAAGCCACGATTCATCTGGCTCCTCATGGACGGAGAGAGTCTCACCTGGAAACCCAATCCTACCGATCTAGCGCAGTATGTTCCAGGATCACCTTCGTCAGCGGACTCGTTCATAACAGATCACCGTGTCGTGCAGGATGATCATAGCGAGAACCGGGACCTCATAAAGGGTTTGTGCATCGAGTATGATCCAGTGTCCCAGGGTCAGTCAGGCAGCCACAAGGGTCCGGCTTCCATGGAGCAGTCAGCCAATATGTGCTTTGCTAGAATGCTTGCACCGGACGTTGGCGGTCTTCGCCGTGGTGGTCAGGTTGGACGTGTTCATGGGTGGAATCCGGAATTTGGGCAAGAGTCAGGGGACGTGGATTGTCATTCCTTGGGTCCGTTACTGGCATGGGTCGCGGAGGTTACTCTGTATTAGACATCTAGGGGAATGCTGCGGATCTGACTGCGAGGATTGTGTTCATTCAAGACATAATGGGGCCTATGGGTATGTGTACTGATAGAATAATGAATGGTATTCACACCCAACGATAGATCGATATACCCTAGTAGCTTTCAAGTCAGAAAACCTTTCGCCAATTTTCACCATAATCATGCATGCAATTCACTGGTTTACCTGCTTTCAGCACAGTAATTCACAGTGTATGCCCGTATCATCGATCAGATACACTACCCTCTCACATACCCCGACAACTCCAGCTAGGTTGCCTTGACCAACTACCACGACGCGACTGCACACACAACCCATCAACACTGACATCCTTGCAACCCACAATCATGTCCCGCTACCGCCTCAGCAACGTCTTCAACGACCAATACACATACACCTACACCACAGTCACAAACCCAGACCCCGAAGCCGAATGCTTCATCTGCAAAACACCCTACTCCCCACACGACCCCTCAGGCTGCCAAGCAATCCAACTCCATCCCTGCGACCACATCATCGGCCACTCATGCTTCACGGAATGGATCAACCGCGCACCTCAATCGTGTCCCTACTGGTCCCACGACCTCCCTCCCACGCTGAAAGCCTCGGCCTCAGATGATAGTCTTGAAGTCAAGTTCCTCCGTTGGTTGGTGCATACCACATGGATAACTCACCTAGACCACCACCACGACTTCCACCTTGAGATTCTCACCCCCCTCAGATGGCGCAGACGCGCACTGTATGCCGTGGAAGCGCTAGCTAAGGGCGCCCTCACAGACGAGCACGTTTATGTGCTAACCAAGGCTTCTTTCCTCACGTTCGTGGACCCGGTGTTTCAGCGTGATATATACGCAAGCATCCGTGTTTTCGTGGTAGGCCTTGGAGTAGAGCTTATGGGTCGTGCGATACGACTTTACTTCTCGATTGGATCCGATAACGTGCTTTTGGATTTAGTGGGTAGGTTGGTATGGTTAACCATTCTTATAATTTGGGTTTCGATACTGGTATACGCGTGCGCTTATTCTGGGGTTACGTGGTGGGTGTTGAAGTTGGGGGTACGGCGGCGTGGCGCCACTGAGCGATGGAAACGTTTTAGCATGCAGGAGTTGTTTTGGAGAGGTTTTCGATTGGGAAAGAAGTCTAGATGAGTAGAAAGTATATATGTACAAAGATATAGGTATGAAGGTTGCGGGGCTAGGTAGATTCAATGTCCCCAGAATTTTGGAAGCGTTCACTGACGCTTGACGTACTCGACAGGTCCGTCGTACTTGTCCTTTCCAATCAGGTAATAGTAACCCATTGCAAAGACAACAAGTACCGCGAACATGACTATGGACCAGTTCATATCTGCCAAGGATGGGTTTGGCACCTCGGGGAAGCAGATCAACACGATAGCCAGAGACAGATATGTGATAGCGATGATGTTGATGTAAAGACCCGCCTTGCCAAGGTCGAACTTGGACGGAAGGAGTGGTTCTCCGAGAACACGTTTCCTGATCATGCAGCCGATGACGATGATGTTGGCAGTGAAGATACCGAGACCTCCAAGGGCGATGACGATGTTGAAGGCGATGGCGGAGCCGATGTTGATCAAACTCAGAAGCGCGGTTCCTACGAGGGTTGCGATGACGGAGTTGACGGGGATGTCCCAGCCTGGTGGTACCTGGGTCAAGATTAGCGAAAGGATCAGGAAGCGGGAAGGATGAACGTACGTAAGCGAACCAGTTGGAAAATGGGAGACCTTGATCACGGGCGAAGGACCAGAGTTGACGGGATGAAGCTGTCACCTGATTGACCGAGCTGAACATGAGCAATGAGCAGATGAGTACCACCAGGATGTTGGTGGCTACAATAGATCCCGTCGCGTTCAACAAGATCTGGATCCATGGCTGGCCAAGTGGGGTGGCCAGAAGCGTGTCGAGGTCATTCCCGAGAGTGGAGAAGACGGTGACAGTCATGATGAAAGCCAGTGAGTAGTTCACGACAGCCGTGGAGACCATGGCTCGAGGACTGACCCACGCAGCGTCTTTGACTTCCTCAGCGAGATGGACGGCCAAGTCAGGGTCTCCAAGAGTAAGAATGGGACCAAGAATACCGACGAGAGTCGCGAGACCAGTGTTACCCCAGCCACTGGGGTCTTCGAAGTGGGTCCATGTGGTTGTGACATCTGAGCGCTCGCCCATGACCCAGAGTACAACGACGAAGGCGAAGAATCCGAACACATGGAGAACGAGTCCGAAGCCTTCCAGCAGGGGAAGCTTCCTGACGAGAATAGTGTTGCACAGGATCGAGAACGTGGTGATGGCGATGGACAGAAGGGTGCTATGCCAGCCTTGGATGACATAGGATGGCTTGTTCAGCACGATCAGAGCTGTGAACTGGTCGGCGACCGCGAAGGCCGTACCAGCCATACCTGTTTGCCATGCGATAACACACAGCCATCCTGAAGTGATTGGTCAGTACGCCATGTATGCTGCGTTCAACCAGAGGTAACATACCGGTGATGTAACTGAGTATCTTTTGATATTTCCTTGGAGCCAGTTCCGATATCCAATGATATTGCCCACCAGCTGTTGGGGCCCTATATCCGTGTTAGCAAGACGCATTGATACATTATCAATCACATTCACTTACATGGATACCATCTCTGCCAATGAAAGGGTGACGAAGAACATGCCGAAGCAGACGACGACGAGTAACCAGATACCACCGGCAGCTCCTCCATTGTAGAGTGAGATTCCGATCCCACTATAGCAATGTCAGCGGTTTTCTTCGTTGTCGAGTGCGAGTACCATACATCAATGCGTATTCCCATGTGCTGCCAAGGAGCACAGCAAAACCGAAGATAGTCAAGAACTTGAATTGCCGCTGATCTCTTGTCAGTATATCGGAAGTTCTCCGGCGGGCGTTTTGGACATACCCTCAACTCCTGCAGCTTGCCCATGCGATCCATATCGCTCTCATCACTACGCGTGCCATACTTTTCACCCACGGCAGTCTGGTTCGCCAACTCGATGCTGGTGGGAGAGTCGATCACCTCCGAAGGACCCTTCATCATGCTGTCGTTCATTGTCGCGATGCGTGCATGCCACAAGTAGATGGAGGAGTGTAGTCGGTAACCAGTAATCAGAAGAAAAGAAATTCGACAGGGTGGTTCCGATGTCTGCTGCGGGACGTACTATCCCGTTCGAGAGGGTGGCGCTGGGTGGAGCAAACGTGCTCAGCGGCCTCGTTCGCTTGGAGACACTGCAGGGTATCTGGTACGTAATGTTGGGAATCAAAGGATCTGGAGGATCAGATTGGAGACCGGGGGCCTGGCGCATACCACGAGCTTGTTCGCGTGTTCGCAGGTTTTCATGTGGCAGTGGGACTCTTTGGACGCACTGGACAGGTTCAATACGCTCCGCAGCACGTATTGTAGGATCTAGATGCTCTTCGCTTATGCGCAAAGAAATGGCAGTCACAGAAGGACCGGCTTGCGCCGCAGAACTGCCGAAGATCCAGGATCACGACGGGTCGGGAAGCCACGCGTGGGATGGCTGCTCGACTGCGCATTTCTCCTGCAGCGGAGCTTTAACCGGATCGGAACATCGTCGTTGGCGAAGGCAAGCATGATGACACAGTGACATGTTGATCTGCAACGTCTGCGTGAAACTGCCATGCGTGAAATGCAGCCAGAGATACGATGCGAAGATCGAAGATGGAGACAGTGGAGTGGTAGATGTGAAATAAATGAACGTTCTCAATGATGGTGTGGGGTGAGTGGCGCCGACGGGACGGCTGGTGGACTTCTGGAGACTTCAGGCCTTTAGCGCAGGGAAAAGCTTGAGTCAGCCCGGGCCGCTGGCCGCGCGTGTCAGAACTCGAGGACAGCGTTGGGAGCTAACAATCAGACCACGCCAATGCGGCTCACTAATACTTCCACGAGTGAAGCGAGCCAGATACATATTAACGTGATCTTGTCTACTGCGCGCAGTAACTCTCTGACGCGAGAAGCACCGAGAATCTGATGATGGACTCGCCGTCTCCCGTACAGCCCCAAATACCCGGTGGTAGCGGGCTGCGGGAATTCCGAGCTCTTCGTTTTATGTATGTACAGTAGGGCCGTACTGCATACTTGTTGCTCTCTATATACAGGCACGGCACGGTTCGGTCAGTGCTCGGCCGGTTGCGCACGAGGAAGAATCGATCGGGATTGGATGCTGGGTATCATCATCTCGGCATCCCAGCCCTTGGCGACCAATGCAGACAAAGATCCGGAGAATAGCGGCTATCAGGAGCCAAGGCAGCCGACCCAGTATTCGGGATCACTCCTGCGCCTCACGTTCTCGAGTGTGATGGAGGGACATGAGTGACACGGTAAGATCTGTTCCTTGGGGCCCGACATGTTTCCAATGACCAACGGTGTCCAGAACCTTATTACTGCATGTCGTGCGCAACGTAGCGATCGTTTATAACGTCTTTCTGCCAGTCTGTGTGGCCTCACGCGACAGATGGCGTACTCATCCAGTTCCTCGCTCCTGGCCAGGGCGTCGGACAACCGCTTTGCCCGCATCACCACCACCGATCAGGGCGCGACCCTTTGGGTTGTCACGCTTCTTTCCATGATTTATGCGATTCTGGTACTTGCAGTCCGTCTCGGTTTCACGAAATGGAGAGCGCATACTTGGGACGACTTTGTCGTCGTAGTAGCACATGTACGCGTCGCGAAGCCCCCGCCTTTACTGCCTTTACCAGAATGGCCCGAAGCTGACGTCAACACAGCTTTTGGCCTTCAGCATGTGGGCCTTCCTATTTTCAGCGCTGAAGAGTGGTCTCGGGAAGTCGTATAGCATCCTAGAAGATGCACAGATATCTAAAACACAAGAGGTTAGCCAAAGTTCTCTTTTCTACCTCCGTTTTATCAAATCTGCTGATATGCGCTGACACTCTGGATACTGTCAGCTTTACTACACGAGCCGGGTCCTGCTATTCATCGCACTCGGGTTTTCGAAGGTCTCTATCCTCATGCTCATCCGGTCTGTGTTTGCTCGGAACGTCAAGGTCTCCATACTAGCGATTGGTACCGGGGTCATCGTAGTGGTGTTGGGCCTGATTGGAGCCATTGCAACCACGACCTATTGTTCAGTCGATACCGTCATACCGAGGCCTGGTGACGATTATTGCGTCAATTTAGTGAGTCTAACCTCCGTATCCTTCGAAAGGCTGTACTAGCTTGCGTGGATAGTGCCTCATCTTTGGTAGCATTTCCCGTCAATGTTCTCTTCCGAGATCCACACATGCTTCTGCACAAACACTGACCTGTTAGATTCCCTGGCTAAAAGCAATTACTATCGGTGACATGATCACCGAGGTAATCATCATGGCTCTGCCGATAATAGGCTTCCACTCGTCTCTCATGTCGATCAAAAGCAAATTTATCGTTGTGATGGCCTTCTTTACGCGGATACCGTACGTATGAACACCAGCCCGAGCTGGCAACGATACTTACACCTGTACAGGAACGTTGTCTTCGCTCTTATGCACTTCCTCGCGTATGCCAAATTCGTAGAGAGCCGTGAGCCAGCCATTCGCATCGTCCCGACCGTCGCCTGGCAAAGTGTTCTTCTTTCGTTCAACCTCATATCCGCAACAACTCCGCTCCTCAAAGGCTTCACCCAAGGATTCATGACACAAGGAGTATCCCTAGGGTACTTGCGTGAGGGAACAACGGGCGGAGGCAGTGGGATGTCCGGCAGCTATGAGCTCAAGTCGCTCACGAAGAGTACTAGATCGAGGTCGAAATTCTCGGCGCTGAAGCTGACGCCGTCGGATGCACACGTCACCACAACAGTCGAGGGGAACTCTGAAGAAGATACTCTCCCACCCTCAAGACTAGACCGTTTAAGGGGTCAGGAGAGCTCCAGAAAGTCGACCCTCCCACCCTCCAGGATGGACTGCATGAGAGGTCAGCGAGCGGAGCGTGCATCAATTGCTAGTCAGGAGTCGCAAAAGATCATGATCAAACAAGAATGGAAGATTTCGGCGGCCTAAACCGTAGGAGCATCTTTTCTGAGCATGTGGTGTTGTATGCCATGGGCTTGTACCGTAGCGTCCATTTCAGTTTATATGCAGGTGCCGACTTCGTTCTTCCCTCGCGCGACAAGGGTTTTGCGATGCGCTTACATAATCTGCCGGGATTACCCCGCGAAGTGGCGACGCAACATTAAACTCCGACATCTCCAGGCAGGCGACCACCCAATGCACCTCGCATCATCTCTTCACCAATGAGATGGCAGCACTAATCTTTGGGACGGCACATTTCTGGTCCCGGGCGCTAACAACGGTCCTGAGATAGCGATAATGGCGTACCCATTCTTCGTCGCTCCCCAAATCACTTCTTCGCTACAGGACGAATCGTCACCTCACGCCCTCTATTCTTATGAGATCTAATCACGGAAAGGAATATGCTGAACCTCTACCAGCAAGTGTTGGCACCACTCCAATAGCATCTGACAATGGAGATGGGCTCAAGAAAAAGAAGATAGGGTCGCGTGACCTGCACGTCGACACCCAGGCAAACACCACGTCTTCCGATATCGACGACGTCGAACAAGACAAGCCTAAGAGCCAACCAGTATCATGGAGCGAATTGCCTCGCAAAGACCAGCTCTTCGTCCTGATGCTTGCTCGTCTTTCCGAACCTTTGACTCAGACCTCGCTAGGCGCATATCTCTACTACCAACTCCAATCCTTCGATCCATCACTCCCAGAGTCGACCATCTCGTACCAAGCTGGCATCATCGGCGCAGCATTTCCGGCGACCCAATTCATGACCGCCATGCTATGGGGGCGCTTTTCGGATGCAGAGTACGGTGGCCGAAAGAGAACAATCTATCTTGGGCTGCTTGGTACAATGCTTAGCATCATTGGCTTTGGCTTCTCGCGCAGTTTCCCCATGGCAGTGGCCTTTAGATGTCTTGGTGGTATACTGAACGGCAATGTTGGTGTGATGAGGACTATGATCAGTGAGATCATCAAGGAAAAGAAGTACCAGAGTAGAGCCTTCCTAATCCTGCCTATGATCTTCAACGTCGGTGTCTTGGTTGGTCCTATAATGGGTACGAATACTTAAGCAGTCTACATGGGAGAACGTACTGACAATAACAGGTGGTGTGCTAGCAGATCCCTTTGCCAGCTATCCTTCCCTGTTCGGGCCCAACTCAACCTTCGGTGGCAAAGACGGCGTACAGTGGATGAAGCGATACCCTTACGCCCTACCCAACCTCACGAGCGCCGTTTTCCTATGCCTATCATCCTTCGCTGTCCTCTTCTTCCTTGAAGAAACGGGTGAACTTTGTAAGCACAGGCCCGATCCAGGCCTCCGCGTTGGCCGCTGGATACGTCGAACGATCTTTCGCCAGAACATCGCATCTGAAGATGGGTACAGCGCTGTACCGGATGATGACTTTGAGCTACGACCTACACCAACATCAGCACATGCGCCATCATCTGCCAGTTTTGACAAGCCGAGGATTATCGTTAGACGACAGCTACCGTTCCGTCGTATCTGGACTCGCAACCTCGTCACAACGCTCTGCGCGCACGGCGTTCTTGCCATGCACGTTGGCACCTTCAACGGCCTCTGGACTATTCATCTCTCTACGCCTCGCTTCGACCATCATCACCCATATCCTCCTGGTTTCACACCTCACGGCCTATTCTTCACGGGCGGTCTTGCTATGCCACCAGCGCGTATCGGTATAGCACTTGCCATCATCGGTGTCATTGGCATACCTTTGCAACTATTCGTCTATCCAAGGGTTGCGCATCGTCTAGGTACAGTGGGCTGCTACCGCATCTTCCTCGCACTCTTTCCTGTCATGTACACGACCGCTCCGTTCCTGAGTCTGGTTCCCAGCTGGACACCCCCACCCGATGGTGTCAGCGGTCCGTGGATATGGATCGCCATTACATGTGCTTTGTTTATACAAGTCCTCGCTCGCACATTCGCTCTGCCCTGTACGGCTATCCTCATAAACAACGTCAGTCCGCATCCATCGGTCTTAGGTACCGTTCATGGTATTGGCCAGTCGGTATCTAGTCTTACCCGGACCGTGGGGCCAATACTCTTCTCCTGGATCTTCGGAAGGGGGCTGGATATGGGTATGATCGGGCTGGCCTGGTGGTGTATGGCCGCCGTAGCTATAGCGGGATGGGTGCTTGCCCAGGGCGTAAAAGAAGGGAATGGGCACGAGATATTGCTCGAGGGGGAGAAGGAAGAGTACGACTGAGAATGTAGACGTTAACATATCTAGACACATCAATGCAGCAGCAAGATGCGATTGTCACCCTGACAGCTACGATCTACTCAGGCTTCCCACCCTCCATCCTGATCACTACTCATCATGCCTACGTTGCTTTCCATAAGCTGTCATTCGCAACGCACAGCCACCTCGTATCCTCCTCGCACCCTGATCAGCAGCTTCTCAAGCGCAAATCATGCTCTTGTATATATGCTCATGAGTTCTAGTCACGTTCCAGGCGGCCACGCCCACCATTGTAGCCCACAAACCTCACGGTGCCGCCTCCTCTCTATACCCCTCATTCACCTCCTCCTCATCAGCAAAAAGCCCAAACACCTTCTCAATCCTCTCCTTCGTATCCTTCGCCACCCCATCCCCACTCTCTCTAACAACACCCCCCAAAACCTCCATAAAAACATTCAGTTTCCCCCTCCAATCCGCCACATCATCGCTCTCAAAGTCAATGTCGGGATTAAACCACTTTGCCTCCTCGGCATCGATGACCCACTTCAGCGACCTATTAAGATACACGAGATCAGAGCCCCGAATTTCCTTGTTGGACTGCAGATGGGTTTGAAGAGAGATTATTTCGGAGGCGAAGAAGGTCTTGAAATGGGGGTTACTGAACGCGGAGACGAGGGTAGAGGAGGAGGTAATTTTTGAGGCGGAGAAAGAGCCCATGCCTAGCTCGACGTCGGGTTTGGATGCGGATTTGGGGGGTAGAGAGGGGGTGGTGGAGCGCGGTTTGGAGGGGAGTTTGGCTATTGTCGTCGCCTTTTGGGTTGGTAGGGGTTTGGATGGTAGGTAGCCTAAGCCTGGGAATAGGGGTGGGGTGACCGCGGCGATGGGGGCCGTGGTCACGGGCTGTGGCGGCTGCGAGGGTGGTGGTGTGGGTGTGGGAGTTGTGAGAAGTGTGGGCGTGGCGGCGACATGGCTTTTAAACACCTCCAGCGCGTCTGCCATATCGACCTCTGGCGAGGACATACCGCTGTTGCTCGTGCTTGAGCTGCTTGTAGCAGCACTGTAGGACGCCGCGCTGGGGTGTAACGCCATCGAACTGGCGAGCGTACTCGCACTGAAGGTCGACGCGGTGCCCCAAGACGCTGCCGAGCTTCCAAAACTATTGGTGCTTGGAGACGATGACGGTGACGACGCGGCAGATGTAGGCGGACTACCAAACACCCCACCGCTCGCCTCAAACGCAGCTAGTTGGTCCATAGTATCGTATTCGCACTCCATCTCGTCTTCCTCCGCTCTCCTCAACTTCTCCTTTTCATGCTCCACAAAGCCGTGTGCTATAGACCGCCAGTTCGACTTATGTCGCGCGAAGCGAGCGTCGAAGGGTTTATGCATCGAGCTTGGGCTGGTAAGGCGAGGGGGTAGAATGTCTATCCGTCGAGGTACCTGGTTGCGCTTCTTCGTCGTTCGTACTGCTGGATGCGGCTCGTGGCCGGGATGGATGTGCACACGGGTGATGTGTGTCTTGGAGATGCGGGAGTCGAGGGTGCGGTCGCTGGAGGTGCGCTTGTAAGCCATATCGGCAGTAAGAATTGATGCAAACATCTTGTTTCTTAATAATAGAGGCGGAAATGGGGTGGTGTGATGGGTGTTCGCAGGAGATGTTGTATGGGTGTACTCGTACTCGCGAGAAGCGGACGGCAAGACGGGGGCGCTGGTGGTATTGTGAGATATGAACGCGACGGTGACCGCGTATTATTGGTGTGGGCCCCAAGCGCCCTGAATGCTGCGTGACCGGCGGCAGTGAAGCGGTGTATAAGTCGAAGTGAATGGAGGTGAAAGGGGGGCAAGAGCTTACGAACATTCTGGTGGGCGTCACGAGCACATGCACTGTCGCTGTATCAGTGTCTGATGGAGTGCTATACATTGTGTAAGTCAGTCACGATGTCTTAGAATGTATGAAGGCTTTGCTGGAGAGCTGCGCCGCGGTGCTGGCGTTGTGGAGGTATTTGTCTCAAGTACGCCTCTGCGTGCAGCCGCATCCAACAATCAACTCATTTCTACTAAGAGTTTGGAATATTGATTTATTTATACTATCGGAAGACTGTCTATCTACCTCCACGCTCCCATCAATCCAGATGACAGAGTCACCGGTGAGCCCTTGTTCCAAACATCATCCCACCTATTCAAGGGAAAAACCGAACACTCTAGAGCCTACATCAAGACAAAAGCTTGCGAATTAGCCTAACAGCGACGTAGGCTTCCGGGTGTTAAGTTATTCCCTTGTATAGGGCGATCCTCATACCACCGCACTGTACCCACCTCAACACTAGAAATAAGCTCTATTCGCCACGTCCAAACCTCTTCTTCGGATCGTAACGCTCGATCTCTCCGCGAGCAGTCCGACTCGGTCTCGGCTTCGCTTTTGGCTTACTTACCTTGGCATCTTCCACCTTCTTTTCTGGCTTCTTTGGCTCTACTTCTAATCTACTGCCACGCTTGTTTGTGGCAGCTGACCGTTCATGCGCTCGACTGTCCACCTCACCAGTAGAACGCGCTGCAAACATCTTTTCTCGGCGTCGTGCCTCAACTTCTCGTGCCAGTGCATATCTGTCGACCGGCGCAGCTGGCTCCGCTGGTGGTTCCACTACTGTCGCACGTTTGCTGCTACTCCTCTCTTGTGAATCTCCGCGACGGCGACGGCGGCGTTGCCTGTCCTTCTCCTCTTCTCGGCGACGAGACTCTTCTTCTTGAGCTCGCTTCTTCTCTTCAGTCTCGAGCTTTCGCTGGTTCTTTGCTTCACGCGCTCGCTGCATCTCGGCTTCCTCTTCTTGACGACGCTTTGCAAGCTTCTCGTCATTGATCTGCTTCGCAAGCTGTATCTCGGCTTCTTCTTGTTGGCGATGCTTTGCCACCTTTTCGTTGGTGATCTGCTTCGCTCGCTCCATTCGCTTGTCGTCTTCCTTCTTGCGTGCGAGGACTGTCTCGTCCAAGTCACTTGAGGGTTGTGCTTGTTTCTCCGTTATTTTCTGCTCTGTCACTGCAGACTTCGCAAGTTGATGACTTGGGTCTGTCTGGCGCGGCTGCGACTCTGTCATGTGGAGTCGACGCCCCTCTTTGAGTGGGCTCTCTGACTGTCGTCTGGTGTTGCTCCTCGACCTATAACAAATTTCGTCGTGTCGAGCAGTGGGGGATCGGCTTCGCCGTCTGGGCTCCCGATCTTTTCGTGAATTGCGCGAGTGGCGATCATCTTCGGAGTGATGTTGGCCTTCGCCTGGTCGACTTGGAGAAATAGACCGGCCACGGTGCCGTTTTGCCACCCCAGAAGCTTCGTCGCGTTGCGCGCATTCGATCCTGGTAATCGTCGCGTCATTGCGCGCGACACTGTCATTATTTTCTTGTCCGAAACGTTCTGTCTTAGTATCCGTTCTGGCAGGGGAGGAATCGGCGTGAGTGGCTGACGACTTGAAGCGCTTTGGCGGTCTGGCAGTCACTTCAGGCTCGCATTGGTCGACATACTTCCTCTTCTTGCTTATGTTAGAAGGCGATCGAGATGATGTGTCTGAGTTCGTATCATTCGACATCGTGGCGTCGTAAACAATGTACTCATCCGCGAATCTCTCGCCCCCGAACACCATTACGGTCCCTTCATTGCTTTCAATGACGGCCGGCCTCTCTTTCTGGCCCTCCGTAGAGTCCTGCTTGCTTACGTCTGAGCTCCTTCTCTTCTGTTGCTTTTGTTCTTGACCACTATCTCCGTCCACATCTTGCTTTCTGGCTTGTTTTGGAACGAGCTGAACGTAGCCGTAATTTTCGATGGACGGTGGATCGGACTTCTCACTAGGTATGCAAGTTTCGACAGTCCGAATGCGTTGGGGAGTGCCCCCATTGGCAATGGCATCGTGCAATTTGAGTGAGGGCGGCGTTGGGGGCGGCGTGAGACTTGAAGCTGCGCTGAAGGAGTGCTCCCTTGCTTTTGTGTCAAGCCCGGGGTCTGTCTCTGGAGTCCTGCGATTTGAGAGTTGTGTGGGATGGGTGATGGTAGGGCGCGACTCGATCTCTTCGCCGTAGATGTTGGGTAGGGAAAGGCCGTCAACATTCGCGTTGGTCGCGTTGCCTTCGTGATCAAATTGAACACTGGTGTCCAGTTGCTCTGAGTGTACGACGTAGTCGTCTCTTGTTTCCGACCAGACCTTGTATCCTGCCGACAGAGCGGCGTCGCGCTGTTTGTTAACCAACAGTGATGCCTTGACCTTCGCTTTTAGAAGGTCCTTCTTGCATTGTGTTGCATCCTTGGTCTGGAACGATGAGGTGACATAGTTTGCACGTCTATCAGAAACGTTCAGGGTGGAGAATGGCGCACTCAGAACGACATCCTGCGGGTTCGCTGATGATCCCGGCTTGTAGCGACCAAGCGCGGCAGATCCAATCTTGCTGACGAGCTCCTGGTGTGTAGGCTCGCGATCGTAGATCTTGCGGAAACCATCGGCATTGCTTGGTGGGAGTGTTTGTATACCAGCGCTGCGGTACAAGACGTGTCCTTGAGTAGTCACCTTGGCTGTCGATGGGACCGCCGCATGTTCCGACGACCCAGACTCGCCGTGTTTAATCGATGATATAGCAGAACTAGGAAGCCTGCTTCCTGGTAGAGTAGTTGCACTGGTAACCGTATTGTAGGGAGTTGTCTCGGCTGCGACAGCGCCGATATCAGAAGTGGTGTTGACATGTTCCAGAACCTGCTGCAGGCGTGCGTCGGCGGCGGGTGCTCGTTCAGTCATGACTGGTGATGTGGATACCGCGGACACGTGAGGTTAGTTGGTCTGCGGACGTTGACAAGTGATGTCGCAATGTGTGGTAATGCAAATCGGTGGAAGGTGCAAACGTAGGATCAGGGTCCAGCTGGACAATAGCAGCTAGCGCGGAACCAAGTAGAAAATCGCGTGCGTCAAACACGTCGTGAATCCGACGTCTCAATAAAGTGAATACGCGCGAATAATGTGTCTGATTCTTACCCCATCCATTCTAACATCCATTTCGATGACATTATGTGGAATCTTCGTCCACTTTGGCGTCCAGTCCGGCGAAGAGAGATTAAGACACGTACCTTGCGCGCACTCACCCAACTCCTATCGTAGCATATTGGCGAGTATCGGTACAGGATCATACCCAAGTAGTCGCTCCAGTACGGTGCATCGGTGATCGGACGGCTGAGCTGAAGTGGTCAATAGATCACTCTTTCGATGTCAACGCCCTCATCACAAAGCCACCCCGTGAGCTTTGTAGGGCTGATGTCGCCATTGTGTGCCTCTTCCGAGAACTCTCCTACGTTCAAGTCTTGCGAATGAATTATGCATGGCGTGGGTCATACCATCCAGGGAATGATCTGGTATGTGTACTCTGTGTTGAACGGACGTGGTGGCGAGAGGCAAATGAAACCGATGAGGGCTAGAGGAAGTTAGACGATCCTGGGGTTATGAAGCGCTTGTGCTCCATTGCTTTTTTCCTCTTCCTTCCTTTTTGTTTCCGCCCTCGTGTTTGAGAGACACATTGTGTATTGGGTGAGTACGTATTCCTGCTTTGGCACTCACGTAGAGTTCCCGTGATTAGTGAGGGTAAGATAGACAGCCGTTACCGTCAGGCTGTCAATGGTCGGAGAAAAGCACTTCTGCATTGATAAGCGGAGTCTGAGTGTTGACAATTTGTGCATCCATTGAAAGATTGAAGCTTCCATTGGGCCGAGAGTCGCTTCCCCGCCTCTGCAGAGTGGATATCGATCTCAAAGCAGCATGCCTTGCGAGACGTATGTGTGCTGCTTCGCCAAAAGACGCGTAGGTGTGTCGTAATTCCAGGACAATCGAAGATGCCAAGTTAGTGAACCGTTGACAAGCCTCGATCGCGAGGCGACTAGCAAGCGACGTTAGTTATAGCGCTGAGCTTGGAAATGTCGATGGGCTGCGGTCATCACTCGGTCGGCTGTGCTGCGGGCCGTGGTGAAACGCCGCTGCGGTGCATTGCGCAAGCATCGTCAACATGCCACAAGCCTGCTTGGCGTCATAGATCAGAGGGTCGACTTTTGCGAACGTCCAATGGCAGGTAGGATGGTGAAGGGTACGATATACGGATGAACGAGTGAAAATGAGAGCAGCACGTGGACGCGCGAAGAACGGTTCGCGCGAGGCTGACTTGACCAAGAATAGCGGATAAGCGGGGCAGATCAGCGTCATTGGGCAGCGGCTCCCGGCGCAGTTGCAGGGATATGCGTACAGCCTCATGGGAGACGCGTATCCGGTCAACCAGCCATAACATGTCCACGCCGCCGCCGCACACCCGCTAACCTGCCAGCTCATCGTTTGTTCCAGGCACCTGGTCACATCACAAACCACACGCAGTATCCAGACGGGTATAATATGACGCAATGTTAGACGAGAACCTCCCCAGTACGTGTTCCCAGCCTTCCGGGCCAATCGCTATGTCAATAGTGTCAGTGGTACTAACCAACCTCTAGCCTTCTTTCTCAAGGCCTCGACCGACAAGCTCAAGCACCACGAATCCTTCTACTTTACCCAGAACGGCTCCGAGCCCGAGGCGCAATATGCCCTGCACCACGTTGACCCAGCCTCCAACGATGCGAAGAACACATACGCCGTCGCCTTGTTCGACTCGCGTAACCCCGAGGTTCTATACGGCGAAGTGCTTGCGAAGCCAGGATGGTCACACCCAACACTCTCACAGGAGGAGATTCGAAGGAATGGCGGAGTGCCGCCCCCACCCCAGCCCATCTACCCCACCGAATTCGCTATCCAACTCTACAACCCCGATTCCCGCGTTGTCGTTAAGCACTCGACTGCAAAATGGAGCAGCACCGTAAGCTGGGAGTTCAGCATACCCCAGGTCACCTTCAGGACCCCGAGCAACTCAACTCTCGATCGTAGCCTGGCGGACCCCGGCAGCGACGCGAACACGCCCAAAGTCAACTTTGCCTGGCGGAAGGAGGGCAGGCTGGGCAAAGACATGACCTGCTACATGACGGGCAAATCGACCGATCCGACTGGCAAGAAGGTCAAGAAGAGCAAGGAACCGGACATTGCTGTTGCTCTGTTCTCTGGCCTGAAGGAGCTCACAATCATGGAGTCCAACCTCTACCGCGTCGAGATCGAGGACTACAAAGGTCTCGAGGTAGCTCTGCTCATTGGGGCCGCGGTGATACGCGATCTGTTCTTCAGCGATCTGAACGACCAGTTCCACATCAACGCCAACATTCGAAAGAACAGCGCGGGCGTGCGCGCAAGGAAAGGCTCGTCGCCGCTCGAAGGCCCGAACATCACAGCACCAGTCATGACACCACAGCCTCCTCCACCGCCAGCCTACACCCCTTCATCCTCGCAATACCCACCCGAGAAGGTTGCCCTTCAGCCTGCCGGCGGTGCTGGCGCGAACGCACAGGTACCTCCACCTTCGTATACCAGCAACAACAATGCCGCCAAGCGCTCTTCGCTTCCTCCGCTAGCTACGAACCAGGCCCGTCCCAGCCAGCCTCCACAACCCGTCCAACCTCAGCGACCTGTTCAACAGCAGCGCCCGCCTCAACCACAGCGCCCAACACAACAACGGCAGCCGGGGCCAAGATTAGATCCACGAGCACAATGGGAGCTTGACGCAGAGACTGCGCGCTTGAAGGCACAAGTGGAGGCTGAGGCACGCGAGCAGAAGCGACAGGAAGAAGCAAACCGAAGAGCTCGACGCAGGCAGGAAGAGGAACAAGAACGCAAGACGCTGCAGTTTCTCGAGCAGGAGCGAAAGCAGAAGGAACGCGAAGAGAAGGAGCGACGCCGGAAGCAAGCCGAGATCGACAAGGAGACGGAACGTTTGAAGAAGCAGTTTGGCGACCAATCCAACCTCCTCCAGCGCCCCGCCCCACAGCCTCAGCGACACTCCGCCCCCCTCGTACAGGGCGGATGGCAGAACCAGCGACCGAGTCCCGCACCCCGCCCTGCACCCGTTCCCGCACAGCCCCCGCGCATGCAGCAACCCCAAGGTGTATACCTGCAGACGCCTGTACAACATCGGCCCGCCGCTAGTCAGAGCAGCTTCTTCAGCAACGGACTGCCGAAGCCTGTTGCCAAGGCTAAAAAGAGTTTCTGGGGCTTGAGAACACAAAGTGAGAGCAATGCCGAGAAGATCAAGAAGAAGAAAAGTAGCATGTTTTGATGAATGGTTCTTCGGCGCTTGGGTCAGGGCATTGGGCATGGCATTGGGTATGGAGTTTTTGATTAGTGAGTCTTTATGATACCAGACCTTGCAATACAGTCATGTTCATCTACGGTTATCTTATTCCCTATGCGTGGTCCTGTTGATCTGCGGTACCTAGATGCAATGCATCATCTCAAGCCATGCCTGATTGGCGTTAGCGTTCCCCCGACTTCTACATTCAACTCCACAACCACTCCACGGCATGTTCGACACCACCTTCTCGCTTCTCCGACCTTCCATGGATCGCATTCACCCCAAGATCTAGCCATGGACATCCTCTCTGGTTTCGCTCCCTCATCTCATCTCCGCTGTCTCTCAGCTTGATGTTGTCGGCTATTACGCCAAGACATAAACTTGCTCACTTGAGCACATTATCCCGGGGTCTGTATGCAGGGTCGCTGCTATAGCTCGCGCCACAACATGTTCGCTACAATCATTAGTGGATGCGTGCACACCGGTTCGAGACTTTTGAGTAAGACCTTGGGTTTCCATTGGATCGCACATACAGTATCTGAGCTTTCACGATGCTGTGGGAGTGGTTAGGTGAGTGGAGGCTGGGTTGTGGATGGGTTGTGGATGCTTGGCAGCGGGATAGAGGGATTGAGGTTCCGTTAGTAGGCGGGTAGGTGGGTGAAATTGGATTCGGAGGCGATGGAAGGGAAGGTGTGTTGGAAGTTGGGGTGGGTATAAAGGGTTTGGCAGCTGCATGTCAGATGCTGTGCGCTGGTTGAGTGAACGGATCTCTTTTCCCATCCAACATCTTTTTACTTCCGCATCTCCTCGTCCTTACCTACCCTACGACTGTACCTACTTGCAGCATAACCTTCCAGCCGTTACAGCGACCATGTTGTCAACCACCCTCCTCACAGTCGCCGCCCTCGCCGCGGGCGCAAACGCTCACTTCCGACTCCTCGCACCTACATGGCGCGGTAGCTCCTTTGAAGAACCAGCTAGCCAATGGATCTACCCCTGCGCCAACGTAAATGAAACAACAGACATGGCGAACCGTACGCATCCCATTCCTCTTTCTTCTCCCCAAAATCCTGCCTACCCATCTCAAACCACCCTCTCCTACCCCAAACCCTCTTCAACCCACTAACCCACCCCCAGGCACTCTCTGGCCCCCCACCGGCGGCGCCACAATCATAAACGGCTCGCACACCTCAGCCCTCACCTCCGTGAACCTAGCCCTCGGCAGCAACGCCACAAACTTCAACATCACCCTCCTGGAAATGTTCAACCAAACCGGCGCCGGTGTGTTCTGCATGCGAGAAACCGGGAAAGCGAATCTGGAAGAAGGGTTCAAGGCGGCGGGGTACAGTGGGCTGGATGATGAGCGGATTAATGGGTTGATGGCGACGGTGCAGGTTATTCAGTTGGGGCATAGTGGGAGTGCGTTGTATAATGTGAGTGAGGATCTTCTTTCTGGTGGTTTGAGGTAGGGGGAGGGGATGTGGTGCTAACGAGTGACAGTGCGCGGATATCATGTTCAACGCTACGGCGGAGTTGCTGTCGGATGATCAGTGTCAGAATGGGACGGATGTTGGTGGTGTGGCGATTGCGAATGTGGGTTCTGCGACGGAAGAAGGGGGTGATGCGGCGGCGTCGCCTGCACCGACTGGTGCGGCGGGGAGGCTTAGTCCTGTTGTGGGTAGTGGGATGGTCGCGGTGGTTTTGGCTTGGGCGTTGTTGTAGGAAGTTGGAAGTGATGTGGCTGTGGAGTGTGGATGAGCGGATTATGAAACCTATGACCGCGTTCGCAACAGGTATAACACTCTCGTTGTTTAAGTGGACCCGACATGTTCTTCTTCATGGGTCCCCCTCTTCATTGCCTTCTTCTTCCTCGTCCTCCCCCACATCTTCACCGTCCTCATCCGGCAGCTCATACTCTTGCGGCACTTCATCCTTCTCCGGTGTCTCAGGCTGCTCCTCCTCTGAGCTAGACTCGCCCTCTGTCATACCCGGATTACCGTCACGTGTCGATTTTTCGCATTGTGTACATGACTCCGCGTTCTCTTCGTTGGGCCAGCGGCACACTTCACATGTCCATTGGGGCATCTTGATTCTGATGCTTGGGTGAAATGAGATGTAAGTATGTAGGATGCCGTAAGTGACTGTGAGAGTGCATGTGTGTAGGTATCTTGGTGAAGCGGTCCATGCTAGGGAGCTGTTCACTTTGCTTGCACAATGCTCATTGTTAAGCACGTGTGGGTGCTGCGTGAACGCTTTGTCATTGTTAGCGCGGTACAAAGGGTTCGATGGCGAATGCGCATCAATGGAATGGAGTGACTTGGCGGTAGACACTGGTAGAGGGGGGTTATCAGATTCAGCTACTTTATTATATCCATTTCTTCTTCTCTGATCTAAAGCATGCTCTCGTGTAGTCATGCACGCTGTTGGCATGGCGAAGGCTGTCTCTCCAAGCTCTCTAACGACCGACGGGGTTGTAGCGCGCCATCGCTGGCCTCAACAACTGTTTGAAATGAGGATTAAAGAGATGATTGTGTTTGTTTGTGTGAAATGAGAGTGATCACCGTGGAACCACCGAACCGTATCGGTAGTAACCCATAGCAGTGAATCTAAGTCATCTGATATCTGTGAATGCGTCAGTTGCACTCATCACATTACCCTGTTGAATTCCATCTCTTCTTCTTAAAAGCTCTGCAACCTTGATAACTCTGCACTCTCTGCCACGTAGCGGTACAACCCACCACTGAGCCTTCACATCTGCCCTGTCAACACACATCAGCATAATTTTGAGCAGGTCAAAATGTCGGGATCTGATGCTACAGCTTCGCGTCGCATGAACGCATACGTAGTACCTTCATACATACCAAAAGGCGCACCAAGAGGCCCAGCTGCCATGCTAGTGTCCCGTCCAACTCAAGACGAAGCTCATGATGAGATCGATGATTGGCTGGAGTCTGGGCTACAGTCGTATACAGAAGAGGGTCAGCGCATGCGTGATGCGGCGAATGGCGTTCATCTATCAAAGCGTTCCACCGCGGCGACGGCCACGGCGGACGTTGTTGGCAGACTTGAAGAGCCCGAACAAGCTTCACCACCTCCTGCTTACCCTGAAGAGACTGCCCCGGCGCCGCTCAATGAGGATAACGCGAACGTTCCATCCCGCTCACACGGGTCCATGCGGTGTGGTGGAATAGTTCGTCACATCACCATCAGCGGCGACTACAACAACATGCACTTGAATACCGGTACCGGACAGCAGAACATCGCGCACTACGACTATCGCAAGTACCGAGATGAAGAAAATGTTCAAGACTATCAGGTTGCTGTGAACGGCGGCGGCGAGGAAGGCTACGATGGTGCGAACGTGGACCGCAACGACCACGAGAATAGTCAGGATGATACCCCAGGATATCGTTCGCCAATAGGCGGCCGAGACGATCGAGATAATTGGCGTGACGATCGCTACGATGAGGAGTACGATGGTCGCAACAATCGCCAATATGATGATTACGATGAGAGGTACAACGAGCGTCGTGGCCGTCGCAACCCGCCTGCACGTGACAGCCGGACTGGCGCGCGCTACGATGATGACGACGGATATGGGAGTCACGGAAGTTACTATAGCTATGGTGATGAAAGTCCGTACAGTGACTGGTAGGCCGAGCGTAGTGTGCACAACTCGTTCAAAGAGACTGTTGCGTTGGTCGATAGCGGAAGAGCTGTCCGCCTGCACATACGCGTAATGGCTTTGGAGGTGCCGTATCAAATTGGTCCATAGTGAGATAATTGGATCTGTAATTATTGTGATGCAACGCAGGTAACCAAAAACACGTTGATACCTTGGCTTCTTCCACGACATGTAGGTTGAGGAGGAAGAAGATCGGGAAGGTACGCTCATGAGACGATGCCGAAGCAAAGGCCACCCCGCTTACGTAATATTTCGAAGCGTCATCCATGCGCGAGGCATCCTCGCCTGCCGTACCTCTTTCCATCTACAGTCATCGCAACTTCATCTACACGCCACGTCTACAATGCGCGATACCTACATGGATGTTTCCTCATCATGCCGTGCACTCTGATCGTCGACGAGCTCGGCTTGCGGCCCCGAGAATCCTCATTCGCAGCTTTTCAGCCCCTACAATAGCCTGAGACTATCTGCATTGCTCACCCCAGCCTCTCAGCATCATTGCTTGCGGTCCAGCATGCCTCTTTCTTCACACATGGCACGCTGCGTGATCGTTGCTCTACCGCGCCGGTCTGCAAACAAATGAACCATTTGTCTCCACCCACCTACCTGCATGAAGTCTAAATCCTCAGCGAGTGCTGGCACTTCAGTCTGGTGCGGTCGGCCTTTCAGACCTTCTCCGCTTATTACTGGAAGGAGATCCTTCGGAGCTACTTTTCCTCTTCTCTCCAGACATTGCTTTACCGGCACTCGAAATATCGGCCGCCTTCCCAGGACCCACAACTGGTTTGGACGATTTCGGCCGTGCTTTGAAGAAATAAGCAATCGACTTCTTGCCTCCGCGTGGCGAAACTCTGACAGGGGGATTGGGCTTGACTGTTTCTTTGTTGTCGTTCGCATCTGGTACTTTGTCCGGTGTTCGCGAAAACTTGATACCATCCGAGGGCTTCCAAAGATTGACTTCTGGGCCATCGTTTTCTCTGGCTCTCGATTCTGGGTTGGGCCCCGAGCCTGACTTCAGCTCCTTGTCGGCATTTACACCAGTGTCAATTCCTCGAACTACGGAGGATGCAGTCCTTGCGTCTGAACGCTGCCCCTGTAAGCGCTCACGTGTTGCGCGCGTTAGTTTGCCAACGTCACCCTTCACCACGGCGTCTCTCGACAGGTCTCGGGATGCATCAGTTTCTATAGAGTTTTCCGTACGACCTGCCGAACTGGCCGAGCTCGAACGATCCGGACTATCTTCGACAACAACCTGCTGCGGTAATGGATCCGCAGTAGTCAACGTGCGCCAAGCTCTTATACGGCTGTCGAGCTTGTGTTGATCGTCTCCGGTGGCCCTGCGGTTCACGGCATCTTTCTCCATGATGATACCGGTATCACAACTCTGCAGATCGATAGACTCTACGAAGTCAATGCAATTCTTGGGAATTCCGAGTTTGCGAGCTTCCTCATGAGCAGCTAGGTAGTCGGTTCTAGCGGCCTGCAAGCTTTTCTTGTCAAGTATCACGTCTCTGAGAAATCCCTTGTTGAACTCTTCCCTGATGCTGTTGGAGGACCTCGAACCATTTGAGTTTTGGACGGCCTTGAGGTACCTGGCTCCTTCTCGATCGTAATTATGGCAGTAGTTCTCGCATCGATCCCGGGCCCGGAGAAGATCTTTATGGCGACGTGAAAGTCTCGCTATAGCACTGAGAACTTCACTATGCGGATCAACAAGTTTTCCCTTGTCAAAGGGCGTCTTTGTTTCTGCTCGAGGAGCACTCGGCCGATCATTGCGCCGTTCCAGCCTCTCTTCCCTGCGCTCCTGCCGATAATCCTGGCTCCACTGAGACGAGTTGCGACTACTCCCTCCAGGCACCGGCTGTTGTAGTCTCCGCAGAGGGATGCGAGCATCCGTCCATACTTTTGCCAGTAGCTTCTCTACATCGAACCAACGACCTTTGAACTCCAGTTCAATGCGACTCTCTCGGTCTTGCAACTTTGCAAGTGACTCCCTAATTTTCCCTCGCTTCTCAAACGCCCGGCGATGCTGCGATGTCAAATTTGCCAACACCGCCTGGTCATTGTCGTCAAGTATTCCCTTTTTTCTCAGTTCATCAAGCCTGCTTCTGATCCCAGCCAGAGATTGGGCATTGTCGTATTCGTCACTTTTAGCCAAGATAAGTTCTTGCTGCCGTCTGCTTGAGGTGTTCCGATATACGCGGCTGTTCTCGATCGCGCCTTCTATTGTTCTCGCTAGATCGCGTGACACTTGGATAGCTAGTTGTGTTTCGTTGCCGTCTTTAATCGCGACTAGAGCTGCAGGCTTATCGTTGTAGAGCTTCTTCGGAACATATGCGCCTTGGAGATACCAAGGGTTCACAGCGGTGTCTTGTTGTGGATGGGATTTCCGAGATTGATGACGTTTCGTACGGTTCGAGGCTGGTTCACTGTCTGTAGATTCAGATCTCGTTCTTTGGTCCAGTATCTCTTCGGACGAGTGGGCAACAGGCGTATGACTGGACGTCTTTGGGTCACGTCCTGAGGCTGAGCGACTACTGCGGTGATAGTGATTGGTGATGTTATAGACCACCATCTTATGTCTGGCCTTGTAGATCGTACCTCGTCCCTTTGAGGTTGCATTTCGAACAGACACCGAGTCTGTTCTCTGGCGATGGGTTCCATCCGTAGTAGACATGGCGGAGATGATTCCTGTATTCAATCCAGTCGCGCAGGATATCTGAGGGGTCTAGGAGAATGGGACGATCAGAGAGGTTTCAAGGAACCAGGACGTTCCAAGGGTCCTAATTGATCACTGAGCTTGTAGGGCGAACAAAGAATCTCGGCTTTGTTCTACTGATGTAATCATTTACACAGCTCGGACCCTCAAACGCCCATTGTGCTGAGTTGAGTCTTCTCCTCATTATACTTCATAACGACTTCACTGACTCTCGTTAGCTAGAAAAATGCCTGGGTGGATGTTGCTATCATGTGAGCAGCCGAGTATGGAGAATCTCTACACTTGGATGCATATATGCAAACAAGAGAAGCTAATTTCTTATAAGGGAGTTCACAGTCCTCGTCGGCTCACCTGCAATGCATCTCATCTGTGTCCGCGTTCGTGATTTAGTCAGTGCAGACATGAGATCTTTCACTGCCCGCACGCTAGTGCGGATTCTACCTTCTATGTCACAACCTCTTGGTATTATTTCATTACGCTCCCATTCCTTCCACTACCACCACGATCTTTCAGCTGGTCAGCTGGCGCCCTTCGCGTCGGCTATTCGATTGATCTGGAGGCACAGCGGTGAGTTACTTTGGTTTCGACAGAATCTCTAGCCTTTGTCCTCCGCTGACCATCATAGTACTTGCGCAGAGACCATAGACTAGACGGAGCTATGGCTCATCCGTCTGCGTCTAGCCAAGACGGCGATACAAACACCACGACGAAGGATACTTCCCGCCCACCCCACCAGCCAAGGAATGGGAGTCGAGCGACACCGGCCCCAGATACGGATGCAGTCCAACCGACCGGGCCCCGAAGACAGGTCACTACCCCAACAACTTCTGCGGTGAGCTTTATCAAGTCGTCTACAACTGAGGTCGACGCACTGTCTGGCGCCGCCGCCGCCATCGAAGCGACCTCCGCGCAGCATCGACCGAGTCGAGAAAGCAAGCAAAGCGAGCAGCTATACAAGGACGACCCTGACATGTATGACAACAGCCGGTATTCTGGTATACATCAAGATGAAGATGACAACTTTCCGGACTCTTCCGCCTCTGATTCAGAAAGTGGGTACGAGGAATTGTCAAAGCGGAGGGCTCGTAGGTATCCCGTGAAGGAACATATGTGGGAGGTCAAGCCCATGAAGTCGCGCCTCGATCGCCTCAAAATTCGAGTTCGACATATAATTCTCGCGCCAGATCCTCAACAAGCACGCGACCCAGGCGCCGCGAAAGGTGTCCCGACGCATAACGGCCTCTTATCGAACGAGCGTCGGCCCATGACCATCATGAAACTTCACATGGACGGAGAAAATGTACCGGAATACGCGACTTGCTTACGTCACTATACTTACAAGAAGCGTGGTCCTTTCAAAAAGCCACTCTCTGAAAGGAACAAACTGTTTCGACTCCTCGACAATGAGTATAGTCATGACGGTCGAGGCCCTACTGTGAACGAACCGGTCTACGGGGTGTTTCACGACCGCCCCATTGACCGTCAGGCGTACATCAACGGCGCAGAAGTGGTGCAAATTCGACTGACGGTTGCAGTACAGATCATTGGGGAAATTCAGCCGGGCAGCTGGGCACGCTTGGATACATTCTCCAAAGAGCAAGGGGAAGAGTCAGTCGAGGAGGTATACAGGCAGTTCCCTGAAATACGTCAACAGGCGGCACAGCAAGCAAGTTTGAACCGCTCAACAAACGTTGAAAGACAGCAGCAAGACCAGCAGAGAGTAAACAACGTCGCCGGACCTTTCCAGGGCGTTCAAGGTACGCGACCGTCTATGCCAATTCAACTCCTTTGCTACTTGACAGCGCCGGCCATACACTGATCTTACTCACTTATAGACATCCCCCACTACCTCGACAATACAGTTCCAAGAGATCGAGACGGCCCTCCACCTCGCCGCCGATCACGTTCCCCATTACAAGACGAGTCCAGCCGCCCCTCGAAAGCACCGCGAACTCGATCGCCGCCGCGCGGACCCCGTTCCCATCAAGAGCAGTACATGTACGGAGACTATTACCATAGAGACTCAACTCGTGCTTCAGGCCATTCGAGTCGGAGACCAGCAATGGTTGATGACTATGTGCGGTCTTATGAGAGCGACACCTTTGCTCTTCCTCGACAAGACAACACTGTTCGCCGGCACCATACTAGACGTCTAGACCATCAAGACCGGGATTCTCGATCGAGGGAATGGGCTTCACGAAATCAAAGCAGAGATACGCGAGACACACGCCTACAGTCGAGCAAGCGCCGGAGCGGCAGTCATGGATACTAGGAGAGTGGCTTGCAAGAAATACTGAAGCGGCCGTGAAGAGGCTTTGGTGATTGGTACGACGTGCTGACGATTTCACGGACAGGATCTTACTGCTTAATCTTGATGCAGGATTTGGGTGTTGTATTGGTGTACGTTCCACCATGTAGTCTTGGCGCGGGTTATGGGGCTTTTCACGGGTATATGGCTCACTGTTCAGCGAGTGTCTGAGCATCCTGTGTTTAACATAGTATCTGGCAGATCTATAATACATCATGATAAAAACGGGAATACTGAAGTTCATTACCTGTGCATCTGCGACGAGGCGAAGCCTACCGAGCCGTCTTCTTCTACCTAGTTATGCCCTCGTTCTTTGAGAAGTAGCCATTACTACTACAAGAATCAGATCGCGCACCTGAGCTAGAACCGTCCTAATTCTAAAACGGCTCTACAACTTCTTCAGGTAATGCTCTATTCCTTCTCTTCGTCTTGTAGACTTTTACATCGTTACTACCCATCGCTACAAAAGCTACGGGCTGATGTTGCGTATCCTCCTTAACTATCTTCCGCAACAGCAACAGACTCTGATATCGTGAGTCTACACATCTGCTCAGACACCACAGCATCTGCAGGAGATGGCAATTCTCCCGTATTCATTTGTGGATGGTTGATTGAGACAGTCGCTGACAACAAATGCGCAATTCGTCAGGAGAACTTGAACGCCAGGCTGTACACCTTTGCAAAATACACTAGGTGTAGCGCTTACTGGACTGCGGAATCCTCCGGGAATCTGTCTGTTGCTGCAGAGGGAGGTCAAGGAGACTGCTGGAATTACTCAGTTCCCAGTAACATGGGTATCGTTAAGCCTTGCGAAGGCGCAAAACGTTGTTCCCGAAAGGTTACATACGTATATCAGCCCAAACATGACCTCAAGTAGAAAGATGTGGTGCTGTCCTGTACAGTCATAACTCGTTTCTTCTACAGTATTGTTACACTTCAATAATTACACATCCTTCTAATTAACACCCAACCCCAACCTCTTCAGCGTCTCCTCCCTACCCAGAATAACGAAGATATCATACAACCTCATGCCCTGCTCCTGGCCTGTAACCGTCTTCCTCAGATAATGATACACGTCCTTCGCCCCCTTCTTCCCTTCTGGCCTTCCGTCAATCATCTCATGCACCTTCTGCATCAAGTTCTCTTTATTCCAGTCCTTCTCTTCAAGCTGCGCTAGCATCTGTGCGCGCATGGGTATATCGGAAGTCGTCGACATGGGCGGTTGTTTGTCGAAAGGACGTAAAGGGGTGAAGAAGAAGGAGTTGCGGTACAGGAACTCGTTTGCGTTTGTGTAGTTTTCTGCGTCGGCGGTTATGATGGAGCGGATGTAGTCGTCGGGGAAGGGGCTTCTGATTATAGACTTCCAGTCTTGGTAGGGCGAATCGGGGGAGGTGAGGAGGCGCGAGACGTTGCGGACCATTTCTTCGAGGGGTGGGCCGCCGGTCGAGGCGCGTTGCAGGGCGTGCTTGCGTTGGAGGAATTGCATTTTGCCGAATGTGACGGTGGTGTTGCCTTTTGTGAATTTGAGGCTGAAGTTATCAATTAGTGTCTTCAGGTCCATGACATCGCTCTTTTCCTTGTGGCTCCAGCCTAGTAGCGCGGCGAAGTTTGTGAGGGTCTCGGGGAAGATTTCCATCTCCTTGAAGGCGGTGATGTCGGTGTCGAAGTTTCGCTTGCTGAGCTTGTTGCCGTTTTCGTCGACGAGGAGGCCGACGTGGGCGAACTCTGGGGGTGTCCACCTGAAGGCTTGGTACATGGCGATGTGCTTTGGGGTGCTGGGCATCCATTCGCTTCCGCGGATTACGTGCGTGATCTTCATGAGATGGTCGTCTACTACGTTTGCGAGATGGTATGTGGGGAGGCCGTCGGATTTGAGCAGAATCGGGTCTTCGTATGCGGATTCGGTGACATGGCCGCGTCGCTTGAGAGGCCTGAAGGTGCCGTAGATGCGGTCCTTGTATGTCGGGTACTGGTCTGGGACTTTGAGACGTATGGTATGCGATTCGCCCTTGTGCGCTCTTTCGTCACTCTCTTCCTTGGATATCGCGGGCGGGGCGCATGTGCGGTCGTAGTCGGTTGCGATGCCGAGCTTGTGTCTGTGTTCCGCCAACGCGTTCAAGCGCTCGGAAGAACAGAAACAGCGGTATGCGTGGCCTGATTCCAGAAGCTGATGCGCGTATTCCCTGTATATCGCGCTCCTCTCTGACTGCTTGTATGGTCCATATGGACCCCCAACCTCTGGCCCTTCATCCCATTGCAGTCCTGCCCATCGTAGATCGTCAAAGAGTCGCTGCTCGGCGTCGGGTATTGTGCGTTTCTGGTCTGTATCTTCTATCCGGAGAAGGAATTGGCCGCCCGTCCGTTTCGCGAGGAGGTAATTGAACAGCGCCGTCCGGAGTGACCCAAGATGGAGGTAGCCGGTTGGTGAAGGCGCAAAACGCGTCCGTGCGGGAGATGTTGGTACGGCGGACTTTGCATCGGCTTTAGCTGTGTTTTCCTTGATGAAGTGGGTGTTCGAAGAGATCGGACGTCGCGAAGCGCGTGAGATGCGAATTAAACACGACCGGCACGTGTATTCGGACAGTCGTGGGCGGAGTAGGGAAAACGACATGGCGGTGTTGATGCGACGCAAAGGGTTCGAGTTCGCGGGCGAAAATGACGTGCAGGGATTCGACGTTAGTGGGGGCGGCGCCTGCTAACAATTTGGCCCGCATTACCTGCCTGCGATCGACAAATCTGGAGAAACTTTGTTGCCTTCACTCCCACTGGACGAGGCTCTTTACGTCGCTGTATCTCGCTTTATTCTTGTACATACTTTGCGCCACTTTGTCTGCTTCCCAATTACCCACGCCCAACCCAACAACGACAACACAAAAGTTTGTACTTCCGAATCTACTACGACACGACTCTCACTAACACGATGCCACCTCCAGTGGATGAAGAAATCGACCTCTACGGTAAGCATACCCGCATGAGCGCTAGGGCCATTACTAACGCGAACAGAGGTCCTCGAGATCGAAAAGGGCGCGAGCAAGATCGAGATCAAGAAGGCATACCACAAGGTTCGTAAGCAACAACAACGCAAGGGCGACCCCATTCTGACCCGGACAGGCTGCGCTAGCACATCACCCCGACAAGGTCGCAGAAGATGACCGCGCAGAGGCCGAGACTCGCTTCAAGGCCGCGAAACAAGCCTACGAGATCCTCTCCGACGATGACAAGCGACATATGTACGACACCCACGGCATGGCTGCCTTCGACCCGTCCCGAGGCGGTATGGGCGGCGAAGGCCCGGACATCGACGACATCTTTGCGCAAATGTTCGGCGGAATGGGCGGATTTGGCGGAATGCCTGGAATGGGCGGCATGGGAGGCATGCCCGGTGGACGAAACGTGCCACGGAAAGGACGATCGGTAGAGCAGGAGTACGAGGTCAGCCTGGAGGAGCTGTACAAGGGCAAGACGACCAAGTTCTCCAGCACCAAGAACATTATCTGCAACATGTGCAAGGGCAGTGGAGGCAAGCAGGGCGCTAAGAGCAACTCTTGTGCTGTCTGTAACGGACGCGGTAGGCCGCTCTCTCATCTCGCAGTAGTCCAGTATACTAATTTTCCTAGGTGCCAAGCAAGTCCTCCGCCAGGTCGGCCCCGGCCTCGTCACTCAAGAGACCGTTCCTTGCGGCAACTGCTCAGGTTCTGGCCAGGTCATCCCCGAGAAGCATCGCTGCAAGAAGTGTAAAGGAAAGAAGGTTGTGGAAACCAGAAACGTCCTCGAACTTTACATCCCCCGTGGTGCGCGACAAGGCGAGCGCATAGTACTTGCAGGAGAAGCAGACCAAGTACCCGACCAGGAACCAGGCGACATCATCTTCACGCTCACAGAGACACCACACGATGTCTTCGAGCGCGCAGGTGCAGATCTGAGGGCCGAGCTAAAGGTCAGCTTGGTGGAGGCTTTGACTGGCTTCAACCGAGTGGTCATCACTCATCTCGACGGACGGGGTCTCAAGCTCAACGTACAACAACCAGACGGCAACGTCCTGAGACCAGGACAAATCCTCAAGATCGAAGGTGAGGGTATGCCTATCAAGCGCAGCGACGCTCGTGGCGATCTCTACCTAGTAGTCGACGTCGAATTCCCCGAGGACGGCTGGCTGAAGAACGACGCCGCGGTACAGAAGCTGCGGGACGCGCTACCACAGGACGACAAGCCGGAAGAAAAGCACGAAGAGGTGGAAGAGGTAGACGTCGAATGGGACGCCGACATGGAGGACTACGGCGCTGGCAGCGGAGACCCACGCGCAGGTGGTGCTGAGTGGGAAGACGATGATGAGGAGGCTGAGGGTCCTCAATGTGCGACACAGTAGAAGGTCGCATGGTATGATTGACGAATGCATGTCTTGGCGTTGGGAGGGCGACGTTCATTCCGTATTTATACACGCGCGGAGCCGTCGCGGTTATAGATTGGCTTGCATGGCCGATAGGGCTTATTCATTTGTTACAGCATCATGCGAGAGGCTGGTTGTACAGCTTCCTCTTTGTCCTTTTCGTGTCTAGCGCTGAAACAAACGATGAGTTCCGGAAGAGTTCTAGATGGAAGGAGCGAATTGTCACCAGGTTCGTGGAGTTCCACACCCCTCAGAATGCGCTTCAATACCACTCACTGTCTCAGCTAACCGCCGATGTCGCAGTAACACTGCTTCAAGAATGAGTACAATGCTTACACGCTCCCGGCAACTATGTCTCATAGCACCGTGGAGGCCGATTGTGGCAACGAGACATGCTTGATACATGATTGTAGCGCTTTCAAGTCACATCGCGAACAACAAGCATTTGGTCGATGCTTGAG